TTTTGCTTTGGCTAGGATGATAAAAAGTTTGGCAGAAGGCTTTGGTTTGTAGGAAGACAAGGAATGCTAGTATACATGAATCAGAAAGTTGCAGGTTAAAGCCATAAAGGTGGCTGGCCACTCTCTTTAAGTGTGAAATATTTGGACGGTATTTTTCTGGGATGATATTCCCGAAGGGAATAACTCCTCAAGACATTGAAGGCTGATGATGAAGTTACTACTACGACTCCACTGCAGTCTTTCAAGGAAAGCCTAATTGAAAGCAGTGCAGGCTCTCCTTGAACATCTGCAACGGGCTAACCACAATTATACAAATACATAGGAGAACTAGCTAGATGATCGCAAATTAATGTTCTTGAGTATATATTTATGCTAATACCACTATTAAGCAATTGAGGATGTTAATTGCAGATGAGTTTTCATCCTTTTCTACTCTGCCTTGTATGCATTGTATATAAAAAAAAAGGGAGGTTGTTGTAGCAACCTCTCTCTTTGCCATGTGTATAGTCTCTTCTTTTGACAAGTGGTAGTTTTCATTTTAAGTTGAATTTTTGCTCCACTATTTTCTTTCAGTAGCCAAAAATCATAAACAGCTCTCCTCTTGAATTCTTTTCTTCTTTCTCTTTTGCCTTCAATCCTTATCTTCTTCTTTTTTCCTCATCTTCCTTTTTCCCCTCCAATTTTTTTTTTATAATTAATTATGCTAAGATTATTTTCTTACTATTGTTTTAGATGATTATTGTTGATCATGGAAAGGTATCATAACAATCAACTGATTTATATTGCCACTTTTTCCTCCATCAAATTTAACTTTTTAATCCAAAATTTTGCTTTTTACCTTTTTCTTTTCCCTCATTGTAATTTTTCTTTGCATTTCATCCTCCCACTCAATCAGTGCATCTTTTCCTCCTTCCTCTATTATTAACTAGACGTATATTTATTTTGTTCTTTTGTTCAAAAATCATGATTCATGATCATCTCTTTTTTTATAAAAAACATAGACAATAGATCTTTTATCGCTACTCTTACTATCTAGTATATTATATATTTTTTTTATTCCCGTTTTTTTCCCTGATTCAAGCTGCCATATATGGACTTAATTTTTTTTCATTAATTATATTTTATTTAGCGTTTATCATTTTTCTTTTTTTGCCTCTTTATCCTGTTACCATGGTGTATTTATTTATTCTGGTTTGATCTCTTTGATATTCATTAGGTCTTATATTATTTTGGTTTTGCAAGTCAATTCTCCTTGTGTGAGATTTGTCTTAAATCTAAATGCGAAATTTGTATTTTGCAATTCTGGTGTTTTAGTTCCTTTTCAATGCATAATTGAATCTTGCACTTCCTTTAATAATTTGTATATAAAAGGTAGTAACATTGGCCCCTCTCAATAACATGAGATAAGAGTGATTGTGTAAACAAGTTTTTCATTTCCAACTTAACCTAGCAGCCCACAAGATAGCATTTGCAACTTAAGAAAGAGCATTAAAAATGTCAAAAGAAACGGAGGCTAGTTGAGCCTCGGCAACATATTAAAGCAACAATGAACAACAATCCACTTCATCTTCTTTAAATAACTAAAGAAGCAGCACAAGAAGGCTAATGAAAGAGCTGCAGAAAAAACAACAATTACGAAAATAAATAAGCTTTCGGAAGTGGCAAGGAACGAATTACTGGAACTTAGCCATAGTCAATCTAAGGACTAAAACAAGGCTCCGTCATGTAACAAAGCAAACTCATATAAACAAGCAGCATCACTGAGAATACGAAACCAAATTTAGAATGATATCATGTTATATACAACACTTCAAGAAGTGATTTAAGTGAGAAAATTTTGGCATATTCATTCCTTTTAAGACTGACATTTGGTCTCAATTAGAATAAAAAATAAATGTTAAGAGTTATATCCCAAACCTTACGAGGCCTAACTGAAATTACTAGAAGCTTTAGGAGAAGTTACTGAATTTATCCCTTAAATTACTTTACCATCGATCAAGACCTTTTTTTCTTTTTTCTTTTTGAAGAAACCAACCAAGACTTGACATGTCAATACAACAAAATTACTACTGTCAAAAAAGCCTACGAGCAAAAATGAATAATCGGATGGACATAGAAAAATACTTTAAGAGCACAAAGACTAGCTAACTAATATAGGAGGGAGGAATGGGTTGAAAGGTATAGGGGAAAGAGTGTAAGTGGGAGAAGTGAGACGTCGCCCACTTACACTAAAAAAAAAAGACTAGCTATTTAATATCAAAAGCTACCGCAATAATTCTATATATATATTTTATATTTTATGGAATGGGTTAGATGGTACAAGAAGAGGAAGTGTAAATGAGAACTCTCCAGATTGAACTCTCCCACTTATACACTTAAAAAAAAAAAACTAGCTATCTAATATCAAAGGCCACATTAATTAATAATTCTACATGTTTTTACACTTACCAACCTATCACTCTACCCAAGCCATCTCAAAGGTCAAGTATTTCAGTCAAAGAACCCCAACCGTCACAAACTAAGGCTCACAAATATAAACATGAAATTTTGAATAGTAGAAATAGATAATCTAACATAAGTTTAATAACAAAATAAACACATTCATATAATACTTAAAGAAAATATACAAATTTTTTTTTACTAATTTAAATTATCAGAAACAAAAGATGCATGCAATGTATAAAAGAACATATTGTAATATTAAAAAAATGCAAAATTTGTTTAAAATATACTAGAGTTGTTGACAAGTAATTACAAATGTTCTATTGCTGTCCGCCTAAATCTTTATGTTTGTTTGGATTGGCCTTTATTTCCCCAAATATATTTGCTTACATCATCTTTACAATTTCCAATACGCCTTTTTACCTTCCCAATTACCTTTTTATCGCACATACATCACATTACAAAAAGTGCTACAGTAAAAATATCTCTACTAACTTACAATCCAAACAAACCTTTTGCTGAAGTGTATGGCTAGACAGGGACCGAGATACATTGGGGCAGTAGGGTTATTCTACCTCTGTCCCTCTGAAAATCTATGAATTGTATATATGCAGAAATTATAACTATTGCCTCATAATTATGGAGTATTGTCCCACTATCTTTCAATAAGATATTTATAAAACGTTATTCTTTGTTTGTCACCCTTTTTTTTAAACTTGGTCTTTAACAAATCAACAAAATTAAAAACAAAAAAAAAACCATATCACCGCTCACAATTGGGTCAAAATCAATCAATAAGGACTCAATTTTATCAATTTATTCTTCCTCACGTTTCAGTGTACTTTTATCTATACATTGAAACTCACAAAAATTAAGCTCTTTTTTTATTTCATCTTCATTGGAACTCAAGCCTTTACAAAAACTCTCATGTACAAATAGGATTCCAAAACTCTGATGGTGAAAACAAAAAGCTGTGTTGCATAACGAGTAAGATGACACTTTTGAAACGTCAGTTTGTTTTTTCACATATCCTGAAAAGGGAATTTTGCTTACTCTTGCCTTTAGTGGACGGTAAATACGCCTTCATTTTTTGAGGTCTGTGGGATGATGGAGAGAAAAATATATTCGTAATTCATATATAGATGCATTTGGTGACAATTCGGTGGGAAGGACCATGGGACATTTTAATATTTTGATACTTTTTTTGTCATCAGCTTGGTCTGTTGTATTATTTTGTGCATGGATGACACTTATTAATTAATATTACCCACGAAAAAAGAAAAAAATTTGATAAAGTGAATCTCAACCGTGGCTTACATTGATAATAGATAAATAAAAATTTTCTAGTGTAATGTCAGGCACATGAGGACTTAACATCAATTTAATGAGTTTTGAGGACCTTAGCAGTACATAGTTAAAAATTAATAACTGCCAGTAGAGTTAGTTAGAATGCTGATGCATTACTAAGTCGGTGGAAATGAGCTGAATATAAGCAGCTCTGATGAATGGTAACAACCAAGCTTGATGAATAATAACAAATCCAATTTCTGTTTTCCCTCTCAACTCTCTCTCTAAATTCTTATCCCTATCCTTGCTTATTTTTGCATTTCTTTATGATCAGGAACTTGACTTCTTGACATGTAAGTACCTCTTTGCACTTACACACCATATGTTGGATGGACCGTGCTGCTCACCGCCTGCCAATAAGATAAACTAGAAACATAAGCATGGCTTTTCCGAAGAGAGGGGAAGTTGCTTTAGTTGCCACCATCGCCATTTTAAGTTTGGTTTCTGTATCTTGCTTATTCATTCTTTATATGTTACTACAATATCTCTCCCCTGCATAGTGCATACTTTAACTTGAACTCTTGACTTCAAATGTTTGACAGTGATAACCTCACCACTTGTTTAATCTAGCTGTTTATTGTTTTGGCATCTAATTGGATGGATAAAACCAACTTATGGTTACAGAAATTTCCATGACATCAAACATCTCAAAGGAACATGAAAATTAGGCGAATTGCCACTTCGTCGAATGATGAAGGGCTTTTTGTCGAGAATCTTATTTATTTATACCTTCAATAATTTTGGAGTTGATGGAAAGTAGAAACCTGAAATCATCTTCTTTAGGGATAAATACAGATTCATTCTCGGAAATAAGGCATTACAAACATCTATCTTACTCAAATTGCAACTGGGACTGAAAACCCTTTCATCTTTCCCTGATATCGCCAGTATAATTGATAGTTGATGCCAATGGGGTGATCATCAAACTTGTGATGGCCACCTTTATGTGAGTGGAAGCTCGCTTTTGATGTAGAATATTACAAGGTAAAGGGAAGGAGAACACTCGATACAAAAGCTCGCCTACTCTCGTACCCGAGATGTATTCCGATTTTTATCAGTAGAGCTATAGCTGCCACGGTAGTATGGAAAAGTGACTTGAGTATTGGCCTGTAAGTCTGGTTCTTCAAATGCTTTGGCGTCCTGTCCCAAAGTTACTTAAAAAGAACAGTAAAAGAAGAAGAAAAAATGTAGATAAGTTACAACAGCAAGCATAATCTGCCATTAGCATGTACATTTGACAATTTACAGCAAACCAATAACACACTTTATTTCAAAGCAGCCACCAAGGTTCCACAAACATACTACCTCCCAGTACATACAAATTAATTCATAATCTTACCTACAGTACTAAAACCTTCCATCCTGATCTCTAAGATTCAAATTCAAGACAAAAACCTAAATCAAAGTTGATGTAACGTTCATGGAACAACCCTCAATACAAATGACTGATTTCAGCTATTGCTATTTCTTGTATGCTTAATGACGGTAAAAATGGGTGCGTTGTCAGCAAAAACTTCATGGCCATCATTAGAAATGGACTCCAGCTTCCAAGCAGGACCAAGAAACCATGAGGTTGCAACACCACCTATTAAGCCTCCAAGCTGAGAATTTAAGCATCATGTCAGGACAATCATACGGGATCTCTTCAGAATGCAAAGGGGAAAAATTGCCAAAAGGTACAAGGGTATGCTTAACAGGACGCTGACTGGGAAAACATTTCTTTCCAACATAATGATTCTCCCTAATGAAATAATTTCTCAAGCTGTAGATTTCAAAACCCAAGATCACCAGATTGGACATGAATAATGTTATTTAGCTGTCAGCACACTGTACTTGAAGTCCATCTATTAGAATTAACCCTCTCAATACTCGAATAACTGCTGTGGAAGTTTTTACTTGGTCAAATATTTCTGCCAAGAGTGATTGCCAATAAAAATCAACAACATTCCATAATACAGAAAATAAAGTTTCTACACTTACGTGTCCCCAGTTATCAATGCCTTTAGACAAAACCCCAATTGCCTACAGGATAAATAACCCATGGTGTTAGATGAAATATATTAACAAGGTCAAAACAAAGTGGAAAATGTAGCAGACGTATTCTCAGATGTCAGAGTTTAAACAGAGAAAATGCATATGAGATGAGACTAAACTTGAGAACAATTTACAATCGAAGGGAAAATAATTGTTGTACTTTATGGAGGACGAAGAAAGCCAGGAACACCACAGATACTGCTTGTTGAACATCAACAGGTTCAAGGAGTAATCATTGTTTTACAGTTCTTGAGATGACATTCGGTTGACTCGGAAGCTTGCTAGACTTGGTGAAAGGAAGGCATTCAAATTCTAGATGATAATAAAAGGCATACCATATTTAGAACAACCACATTCATTATATGTCGTAAATCTTGCTCGCTGCCCTTAATCATGCCCTTATGCCTCAAGACGAAAACAGCAAAAGATCCAACCTGATGATAGAGCCAATAAGCAAATTAGAGGCAAAACTTTAGTACTTCTTATTGAAATTGGTATATGATCCATAATCTCAACATTGTGTAATCTAGATTGACGATACTATACAAGATAACCCTAAAACAAGCTGACCTTAAACAAAAACACGGTGCATTGAAACCAAATCATGAAAATTGACAAAGTTATGCCATAAATGTTAGCTGCAAGATGTAATAATAAAGGAGTCAATTTTTCATTCTGGAATTCAAATTGGGAGGAACCTTGTTTATGTATGGGTAAAAGGAAAAAAACCAGCTTTAGGAAATCAAGAACTTACTAATCCAAATATTGCTCCAGATGCGCCCACTGCAGGTGCTTTAGATAGCCAATAGCTCATTGCAGAACCTGATCTTTAAATAGAAAAATCAGAATGAGATGCAAAATCATTGTTTCTTTTAGGAAAAGCAAGCAATCCTAGTTTAAGGACGTATGGGTTTTTACTTGCAATTGCAGATGTGATATAAACAGCAAGGTATCTTCTAGGACCACTAATGTTCTCGACTGCAGGACCAATAGAGTTTAAAGAATAGCAATTAACCTGCAACGCCTAACTGTTAGGATTCATAAAAGTGAAAGACAAATGAAAGATGAAAATTAGCTGGAAAAGTTCAAATCGCACCATGAGATGCCCGATATTGGCATGCAAAAAGGACGATGTGGCTAGCCTCCAAAGTTGCCCTTTATCAATTAGACTATTAATCTGCACATGGTAAGTGTGATGTAGTTACCACACAAAGTAAAGCTTTATAAGATGATAGGAAGTAAATGTTTGAGTAATTTTATTGCTTCCTTTTAGGCTAAAATTCTCATTTTCAGTCATAAGACTAACCTTGGCACCCCAAAATAATAGCTTTCCTTGAGTTGCAATTTGTGCTACATGGATTCTGCAGGTTGGAACCAGAGAGAAAAGCTGTTATTGTTTAGAACATTAAATGCTTGGGCAATTCAAATAATTACTTGAGAGTCTGGTTTAGTGTTCTTTTCTTCGCTCCTTTTTTGGGGATGGCAGGGGTGACAGGCATGCAACGTGGTTGAAACTGAAAAAATTTACTCACAAGTAGGACCATCAAATCCACCCATAATTTACTACTTACATGCAGATCCTCAAGTGCAATTTCAAGAAAGCAATACTCACAAAACATTAGCAGCTAAGAGGATGTTGGTCCATTTCCTTCCGTTGAATGAGGATCTTCTAGAAGGTTTTGAGTATGTCTTCCTAACATGGCTTGAGTCGTTTTCATCTTCACCACTATTAAAGAAATATAATGCCATACATGTGGAAGATATAGAGTCATGTGTCCATTGGAGAATTTTGGAACCAGAATATAGGTTGGCCCTTTCATTCCAAAGATCCCTCAAGAAAGGCAAATAGCCAAGGTCAAATATGCTCTGCATTTAAAGCAATGCCAGGCGGTTACATTTTCAACTATGTAATCATATCAGGACCAGGAAGAAGTTAAAATTTATCATAGGCACGACAATTTCCATTCTGACAGCGTTTCCAGATTGAAGAACTATATCAAGAGCCAAAGTATGTATCATTCACTTGTACTTCCTAGTTGTTCGAATTCCTTTAACTAGAAATCTCAAATCAATTCACCATTGCGGAGTTTTGCGCAGTCACAAATGCAATTTTAAGCAGAAATCAGCTAGTAAATTCTTATTCTCAACTCTTTTATGCAGCACAAGCGAAAAGATAAAATATACCCAGCGTAACCAAATTAGCAAAGAGAAGTAATAGGGGAAAGAAAAAATAAAAGTTTCCGTCCATTTCCTTTACTTGTGTTTTATATGAAGTTATCTTTCCTAATCATCCATATATGCTCTCCGTTCACTCATTTCCATATCGCATAACTTAAGCTACTGAACGTGTATAACGATGAAGAAAGATTGATCATTAATATGGATCAGAACATAAAACTATAGATGAATTATACATATTCGTAAACTAGTTCAGAATTATACTATGTAAAAATATGAATTTTCATACATATTCGTAAACTAGTTCAGAATTATACTATGCTACAAGCAAATTGCAATGTTTGGGAACTATTACAAGGTCTCATTCAAGAAAAGATTGGAACTTACCCTTTTTGGGAGAAAATGGCGTGTTATAGGAAGTAAATACCTTGAAGTTGGGGGAGAAGGGTGCGGAGGGAAGAAGAAAGTGCAGGTCGATGCGGTGGCGAAGGAAGTCACCCAGGCGGAGAGCGGCAGCGTTGGTGATGAGGTGGGCTGCTGTGGGGCCCACCTGGGATACTGGGAATGGGAAGAATTTGGGGTGGAAAGCTGCTGAACCAACCATCATATTTACTAAATATTATTTAGTAGTAGTATGATTGATTATTCCCCATGTTCCAGTGAAAACTGCAAATGCAGCAGCAGATCTACCAGCAACCCCAGAACTCAAATGGGCACTTCTTTCTTGCAACGATCCGTGGACAACCAATCAATACGCGATTGGATTGAGATTTTCGACATATGACTGGCCTGGGGCAGCTGCTACTCGTTCATGTAGTTATCCTTTTATAGAAAAATACAGTTTTGATGTCCAAACTTTGGTAAATGATCAGTTTTCGTCCCCAAACTTTGGACATACAAATATGGTACCTAAACTTTCAATTTTTGAGCACATTTAGTACTCTTGACAGTTTTTTCCCAAATTACTGCTAGAAAGAGTCATGTGATAATCACATGTCCGGCAACTATTGTATAAAAAAATATCAAAAAATGTAAAATATCTTTTTGATGAAATTACTAGTCTTTAAACTTAGTACTTAGTATCATAAGGATATTTTACTTGATAAAATTATTAGTCCTTAAACTTAATACTTAGTTCTAAAAGGATATTTTACATGACACATAATTACTAGTCTTTAAACTTAGTACTTAGTATTAGAAGGATATTTTACTTGATAAAATTATTAGTTCTTAAACTTAGTACTTAGTTCTAAAAGGATATTTGACATGACACTTAGTGTCAAAAAGATATTTTACGTTTTTTGACCTTTTTATACAATAGTGTCAGACATATGACTATCACGTGACTTTTTTTGGTAGTAATTTGGAAAAAATTCATCATGGGTACTAAATGCGCTTAATAGTTAAACAATCAGGTACTAGATTTGTCATTGTCGAAATTTTGGGAATTAAAACCCTTCATATGTCAAAATGTAGATATCAAAATTGCATTTTTCTCATCTTTTTAAACAAGCTGATTCACACTCCGCCAATGGTTATTTCCCTTGAAATAATGGATTTTGAGGAGGATAGGTAGCTTAATTTCATTAGTGTTTCTGCTTAACACTACACAATTAATGAATTTTATTTTTTCTTTTTATATGTGGATAAGAAACATTTTCATATAAAGTAATTGATGCTTATGTATATAACATATTAATCTTGTATATATTGAGAGGATGAAAAGATATACATTGGCAGATATGGTGACATCTTATAAATGTAAAAATTAAAATTAAAATTTAATATAAAATTAGATGATGACATACATCTATACTATAGCGTCAATATATATAAGATTAATCTATATATAAAATTTGTTTTTCTGTGATCATTAGGGTAGAGAATATGTGATTTCTAAGTGCGAATCAACAACCACATTTGTCTGTTGCTGGAATGAAAGAAATTGAGATTTGTACATTGAAGATTACCAAAAGTATATAATTGCCTAGGCCATTGGAAAACTTTAGACCGTGCAATCCTAATTTATCATGGATCATTGCATAATAATATTGTTTCTTTTGAGGTCATAAATAAATTTTCCAAATATTTTACTCCCTGGAACCGCTTCTTTCCATTTCTTTTCTGCTTGTGACCTGTTCTCGTTTATGGACTCCCGCAAAGAATTCGGTCTCCCTCCAATGTCAGAAACAGCTGTGGGATACAAATCGAGCAAACGAATTTGTTTTTGGTTTGGTAGAAGGCGGAATAACACGCTCAACTCTGGCCAAGTCCTCCCCCGTGATCCTTTGATGCATGATCTACTTGGAACAAATTGACTTCTCTTTTGCTTATGTGACTTTCATGATGCATTTTAGCATCTCCATCCTCATGATTGGCCTGAAGAAACAATTTGAATATATCTACCACAAAAAGCTTATAAATTGTAAGTTTGTAATTGCAGAGTTGAGAGAAAAGAAAGAATTGTAATTTGTTGCAATAAGCAAAAAGTTCAGTATGCAAATCCATACCTGTTAAGTGCTATCTATATTCCTGACTTCTTCAATACCATTCTCATTCACAAGATGGAGGTTGAACTTTTATTTTCGTTTCTACTCTTTTTTTTTGTGGGTTTTGGAAATAGGTAAACGCTATGCTTACCTGCCTAGAAGATTGAGTTAAGGTGAAAACTACCATATGCACGATTGACTTCTGAGGCTGTAGTTGTACAAAGCTATGGCATGTGCCGAGAGAACCACCTGTACAAATCTGATAAAAGAATTGCAGGTAGGTACGTCAGTGCTGGAGAAAGAAACTTGTACCATAATGATCAGGGTAGAATATGCTAAAACTGAACCAGACCTTGATGATCAGTAGTAGGCCAGTTGTCGAGATAATTGAAGTGCCGGTATGCCCAATCTCCGAATAGGCTGAATGGCCACAGAGAAAAGACTCGCAATAGCCAATTCCGGTGTGGAGAACTACTTACCTCCTCTTCTTCTTGGAAATTATCAGCTTGTTCTTCTCGGAAATCGCTATTAGATAAACCTCCGATCTGGTAACGACAAACTGGACAAGAATTGCGAATGTGCAGCCAAGGAATAATGCAATCAGAATGATAAAAGTGTTTGCAAGGCAATTCTCTAACTTCTTCCCCAGCCTCAAACTCATCTTTGCAAACAGGACAATGAGAATCAATGGCTAGATGAGTTGGGGTGAGAACAATTGTTGGCAAGGCATCAATGGCCGAAGCAGGGGCAGGAGGCAGTCCAGGCCTATCATTTTGAGTCAGCTCTTGAATCAAATCCTCCAAACCTTCCTCTGAAGCTGCCTCCCTTGAATTTGTTTGTGAAGAGACGGCATGTCCCAGTCCCAACTGGGGGACATGCCTTGGGCTTGGAGGCTGATCAGGACCTATGAATTGGATTATTACGCGTGCTCGATGCCTTTGATGAGTTTCATCAAGATTTTGATGCCTAATTGATGGATCAAGCATGAAAGCCAGTGCATCCAGTAATTGAGAAGCGGAGGTTGTTTCAGGCCTCGCGAGATCTTCAGAAAGGAGCCTAGGCCTTGAAACATCAAGCTCATGCCTAATCTCCCCGAAACAACGTGGACATATGATTTCAGAAGGATTTGTGGTAGTAGTTCTGATTGATCTTTGGCAATGGCGACACCAGTAGAAATGGTATGTTCTCATTCTCTGGACTCCATTGACGACAACCCGGGAACGAGGAATCAACGACATGCTCAATTTGGTATTGATGTGCAAGAAGGAATTAAAGGTGGACAATAGGGATTAATGGCTGAAGCTTTTATAGAGTTTGGACATAATTTGAACAGAAGAGAAAGGAATGGCTTTCTGGAATTGCACATGCGATTTAAGAAGCATTGCTAGTTTTCCAGCTTTCTTTGCTTAATCCTTTGTGTCTCCCATGTTCGAAGTAAAGGATGTGTGAGAAATGATGGAAGCCCAAACAAACCTCCTGGAAATTGTAACAATTAATAGTCTCCTTCTTTCCTCTGAATGCCCATTTTGGTGAAGCCATTAACATATGCTTGTGTTTGAAGTTGACCATCTCAGCTTCAGTGCCTTTATCGGGCATCCTTTCTTCTTCGTTTTTTTTGGGAGCTGCTTGATTGCAGGAAAACAAGTGGGATACGTCAACTTCTTCCTTTTTTTTTTTTTTAGCAGGGGTGCAAACAAATCGAGCCGCTCGCTCAACTCAAGCTAATCGAGTCAAAGTCGAGCTCGAACTCGAGTTCAAAATATTAAGTTCGTTAGTTCGCGAGCTTGAGTATATATATATATATATATATTTTTATTTTATTTTAATAGTAAAATAACATAAATATTCTTAATATTTTATTATTTATTAAGAAAAAAATATTATTTTATTTATTTTTTAAAAAATAAAATAATTATTTTTATTTTTTCGAGCTCGAGCTTCAAAATTGTCAGCTCGTCGAGCTCGAGCTCGAGCTCGATGAAATTAAGTCAAGGCTCGTCTCGATAAGACCAAAATTCGACTCGACTCGGCTCGTTTTGCAACCCTAGTTGGTAGGTATCTAATCGTTTTGTGCGCGCTTATGATTAAAATGCACCTTCTTGACCATTAAACTTGCTATTAATCATAAGTTGTGTGTTTAGATAGAAGAATATGTAGAAAAAAATTTTAGAATAATATCGTAACACTTTTTATTATTAATATATGTTATATGAAAATAAAATTGAGAAGATAAAATGATAATTGAAGAATGTGTTGATGGTGCATCTAACAAATTTTTTTCAAATAATGATCAATTCAAATAAACCGACTTAAATACATCCTTATATACTTATAGATATATATGTAGGGCAACCTAACTTTCCTCCTTAAATGTGTCATTTTGAAATCTTTTTGAACCGAACTATTTATCAATATTAATGTACCTAAAAATGTAGCAACACATTATAAAGCATAATTAGTATCTGACCTCTTTAGTTCTGAATTTTTGATCTTGGTTGTTTAATCTTGGGATGTTATGTAATTCAATTAGCATATCTGCAATCTAGAATTCTTCAATTCGATTGAGTAGGCATGAATAAATTTGGTACGCTTACTGGTATTGGGTTAAGATGGCAATTAGGTCCAAAAAGATGTATTTTGTGCCTACACCGGGTTCTCCCAATCTACAAGGGCCGGTTGAGTCGAGCTGACCCAAAATACCCAACCGAGCCGACTCCCAAATCCGGATTGGGTTTGTCGCATACTTTCCGCCATCCCTCCGTCAACATCAAAACCCCAACTTCATCCCCTACCCCCAACTCCTTTCTTTCTCTCTTACTGAGACTCCTTCGCAGAGAGAGAGGAAAAGGAGGAATTAAGTTCCCCTTCCCATTTACTCCATGAAAATCTCCTTATAATCTCCCAAAGTTCAAGCAAGAGGTAAAGAAAAATCGAACGGACAATGTCCCACGCAATTTTTCAAACAGCCCAAATCATGCCAATCAAAACCATTCCGTCCACCCAAACCTTATCGTCCAAAATTTCACTTTTACCTCCTTCCACTGTTCCTCTCTACCCACTCCCGTCGCAGGCCGCCGCTGTTAAACTTTGCAAGCCTCTTTTAATTAAAGCCTCCTCCACCTCCTCCTCGTCGTCGTCTGGGTTGGTTGATAGAGTTGGAGACACTGTTCCTCACCTGGAGCGGTGTTTTCAGGCTCTGCCGGCGGTGGATTCCGCGGCTGCTTCGTTGTCGTCGTCTCCCGTTATGAAGAAGGATTACGGAGCTTTTGGTGCTGTTACGTTGGAAAAATCGAAGCTTGACATGACGCAGAAGCAAGCCAAGTCTAGTCCCGAGGTTTGAGATTTTTTTTTTTTTAAAATTCTTGTAAAGTTGGTTCATTTCTGCTGCTATTTAACTGGCAATCTTGTTTTAGTTTGCATGTTGATGTCCTAATTTTGTGGTTAATTTGTTCAATGTTAAAGAAGTTTTCTGTTCCTGTTGTATGAGTTAGAGATATGACTGGCTTGATATGGCGGACAGTGATGTTTAATCGAGACTAGTGGTTTACTTCTTTTTTGGAAAGTAATTGGTTTATTTGTTAAAGTGAGAAGATAAAAAATAGTATGGGAAATAACTGGATTACTTGTTTGGTGTTTTCCTCCTATAGTATGCGGTTGCTGAAGTGCAACTTTAGAGAAATTGAGACTTTTGTATTTGTTTGTTTCAAGGTTGAAATTTCGGCTATATATCCTTTTGGACTTTTGACTGTTTGAATGGAATACTAGTCTGAGAACAAGCAGGATTGTTTATGGTTGATTTTATGAGAGCTTGCTGAGAAGTGCAGTGACAGGTTTTATGATATGTGTGGCATACTAACCCAGAAATTAGTTGTTAAGATTTACTTTTGGTTTTTGGAATATTTAAGGAGGGTGCTGTTGGTTTATTTGAGCAGAGAGTGATCTTTTGAGTCTGTTTCTAAAGTTTCCCATTCTTCAGAGTACTGCTGCTTTAATAATAACAGTTGGCTTTGGAGCTGCATTTGCCTTTTGTTTTGTGGCTCAACTTGTGGAATTGCTTTGTACTGTTATTGGGTGGATTAAGATCTAATTTGAAGACATTGCTGAAGTAAATATACATGTTTTACATGAACCTGGATCTTAATTCACATTTTAAAATCTTTTTATTGCGGCATTCGTCTTCATTAGGGGCAAAGCGCCCTTTGCCTTTACATGTATTCGACCTGGAAGCTTCTTGTTATACATTTGAAATGATCATTTTACATGGTAGCAAGCTACTACCATTTTAGGTGACTTGCTTAAAAACTTCCATAATACAGCATTATAGTGCAATCTGGAAAAAACAACTATAAAAACTATACTTACTACATTGAAATGTAGTTAACTAATTGGTCTTACTTAACTACAATAGTAGCCACAGCTGGTTTGCTGCCCCTTAAACAGGAGCTAGCCTCCCAAGAAAGAAAAAAGTACTTCTCTTGTGGCTTATCTTACTGGTTGACTAACACGACAGCTTTTTTGGTAATAATTTGGCTATTACTTGTCAATGTGGCAGCTGGCAACTGGTGGAGGTGGTGGTGATATTGGAAAGAAAATTAATCATGGTGGTGGTGATGGGGGTGATGATGATGGTGATGACGATTCCTACTTTGATGACTTTGATGATGGTGATGAGGGGGATGAAGGTGGACTTTTTAGGCGAAGGATTGTATTCCAGGAGGTAAAGGCATTACACAAACTGACAAAACTGTGCTTTTGTTACTACTTTAGACTGATTAAATATAATAGATTTGACATTTATATATGAATAATGGCCTTCTACATTTTGGCAGTTATTTGACCGAAAATTTGTTGATGCGGTATTGAGTGAGTGGCAGAGGACAATGATGGATTTGCCAGCTGGATTTCGGCAAGCTTATGAAATGGTAAATCATTTTTGTTTATTGATATTTGCAGGAGTAGCCTTAGGTTGTTTGACTGATGTTTGGTTGCATTCAGGGTTTGGTGAGCTCTGCTCAAATGGTGAAGTTTTTGGCTATTAATGCCAGGCCTACTACTACTAGGTTCATTTCTCGTTCGCTTCCTCAAGGGCTGTCTAGGGCATTTATTGGCAGGTAATTTAGCTAATCCTTTCTTTAAAACTGGTGAATGCAATTTCAGACATCATGATTTGATCTTTGCATAGATTAGTTGCGCATTTTGGACAAATGTTCATGGGTTTGGGTAAGTCTTATATCACAGGGTGCATTGAAGGAAGTCTTAGTTTGTTCTTGGAGATTTCTTTTGGGTTTTATGTTTTTCTTGTGGTTGGGGGGACTGGAAGGCAGCTGAGCTGGAATTGGCTTGATTCTTGACCCTTGTCACGCCCAAAGCCTGAAGATTTCAAACGTTGTTTGGTCAGTAGCATGAAGTATGGCACCTTAGAATTTCCTTTCATTCCTGAGTTTATCATTGAACATTGTATGGAAGACCTTCAATGTATGCCTGATATTTGATTACATAGCTCGCTGTAGTTGGGCATACTTCTTGTCTTCTGAGTTTTAGGTGTCAAGATTTGTGAGTTGCTCTTTCCATTATTATTAATTTCCTCTCAACTCATTTGTTGGTTTTCAGTGTTGATTCGCGTCTGATTTTATTGGAAATCTTGCTTGAAATGTGTATCTGTAGTTCGTATTAAGGTTATGCATGCATCAAATTGCTAGGGAAGTTAACAGAAAAGATGCTCTATTATTTAGAAAATGATGCTGAAATTGCATGTCCCTTTTGGCATATCCATGTATTATTATCTGAAAGTAAGTGGATCTCATAGTATTGAAACTGGAGTTTTTTTTCCCAGTCTGATGGGGAAATCAGTTGTCTCTTTGGCTGGTTTAATACCTGATATTGACTGAGAGAGACGAATTTAAAATGGAAAGATGAGTAATGACAGAGAGGGACTGCTGGATGATTGTAAGATAAAAGTTGTTAAAAAGTGTTATGTTGCTGGATGAGCTGTAGTTTTATCCGCAAATATTCTTTCTTTATGCTGATAGGTCTTGCATAAATGCGGTAAATATCTGATACTTCTCTTTTAGTTGGACATGCCAGGATAAGTAGAATGAGTTGCAAACGTGGTTATGGAGGAACCAAAATGAAGAAACTAAAACACATACTGAAGTCTGCTGGAGTACCCCATTGACTGGAAATACACGTGCATCCCTAGTGAAATTCTCAGTATTGTCATGTTTTGATTGGTTGTTATGCATTTTATGGCCATGTAATGTTTCAGTGATAATAACTGTGGTTGCATTCATAAGGTTGAACCTGTATATTTGGTGAAAGCTCCATTATGTGTGTCATTTTTCGGAGATAGAATGGTCACGTTTTTTCAAGTCTTCAAATATTGAGGTCAAATCAGGATCATTACGTTCTAACATTCTACATATCTGAGTAATGTACTGATAATATTTGTAGTTTGCTTTCTGTTAGCTTTACTAGTATTAACAGCTGGACACCATTTGCCTGTGGCCTTTCTATTCATGTAGTTTCCTTGATTATGTCCTTTATTGTGTGCAGGATGATTGCAGATCCAGCATTTCTTTATAAGCTGCTTCTGGAACAGGCAACTACAATTGGTTGCTCTGTTTGGTGGGAGGTGAAAAATCGCAAGGAGAGGTTTGAATTTTACCTAAATCATGTGAACTGACTTGAAATTGTTTTGATTTCTTAGTTCTCATCCTTTAATGGACAAATTTCTTTTGTAATTGCAGGATAAAGAAAGAATGGGATCTTGCCCTCATTAATGTGCTCACAGTGACGGCTTGCAATGCTATTGTTGTTTGGTCGCTTGCTCCTTGTCGTTCATATGGGAATACATTTCGGTTTGATTTGCAGAATACATTGCAAAAGCTTCCAAACAACATTTTTGAAATGAGTTATCCTATGAGAGAATTTGATTTGCAAAAGAGGGTTCATTCTTTCTTCTACAAGGCTGCTGGATTGTGTATGGTTGGGTTAACTGCTGGAGCTGTGCAGGGAGCAGTTTCAAATCTTGCTGCCAGCAAAAAGGAGGGAAGGTAAACATTGCATATACACATAAAGAAGATGTTGTTCCCTCCATCTATCTGTTTATCAGATTCGTAATTTTAGTTGTAAATTTGCCTTTTTGGTGTCTTGGTAGGTTATCTGTAACTATTCCCTCTGTAAGCACTAATGCTCTTGGTTATGGAGCCTTCCTTGGCTTATATGCGAACCTGCGCTATCAGCTATTGTGTGGATTCGATACAGCAGTAGTGAACTATTTTGATGTCATTGGAGTGGGTCTGTTCTTTAGCACAGCCTTAAGGTATGTGTTCCTTTACATATATCAATAAATCCTGTGTGATACCTTTTGTACCAAACTTTTATGGGTCAGATGCACGTGCGTATACGCACTCAGGATGTAGTAAACTAATTTTTACTTCTTTGATTCTGTTTTTATTTCTTGAACGCTCTTAGGACTTGCTTTTTCTGGAATTTTATTGCTTAATTGTGGTTACTTAATATCGGTCATTGGTTCATATTTGTTATCATTTAGTTGAGCTGAACAACGTTTTACTTTATATTGGTAGGTTTTGCTTTGGTCTTGTTATTCAAACTTTTACAGGAATGTGTTACTAGTATTTTTAAAGACCAAGCAGTTGCAACAAATTGGTTGTTCAAATGTGTGCAGGGTCTTGAATGTTCAATTAGGAGAGACATCGAGGTTGGCTTGGCTTGGTGTGGAGGTGGATCCCCTGGCCGAGTCAGATCTCTTGAAAGCGTACAATAGACCATCAGAAAGTGTCAATAGGACTTCCCCTTCAAAATGGTTCATATCCAAGAATGCAATTGTTTCTGGACTTGGTCTTCTGGGCATTAAACAGTTGGAGGGCAACTCTACAACTGAGGGTGAAGCACCTACTCCAAAGGTTCGAAGGAAGAGAGTTGTGCGGAAAAAGGTGGCGAGAAGTCAAGTATAGTTTGGTAATGCAATAGCCATCACTTCAATTTTGCAGCCTGCTATATCAACGCTGATAGTTTTGGTAAACAGGAGAGTGGAGACTGGCGAGGATATATTTAATCGCGACAACCATTCTGGACGCGGATCACGGGTCAGGCGGAGAGGAGATTAAGTGGAGTGAGATGTCGGGGAATTTTTTTTTTCTGTTTTTTTCGTGAAACCTTGCTAATTTTAGTCTCATCACGATTTCAAGGATTAATGGATGGTGTAGAATTCCAGTGTCATATTGATTTGGTGTTAAATGGCTGTGTTGGTTCAACCTCTCGAGGACAACTCATAGTAGGTTGTGAATAAAATTTTCGTTGTGGACTGAAAATGGGTTGAAAATTCTTTTATCAACGTCCCTGATTGTATCAGGCATCTAAGTCGTGTGGCCTTTTATCTACAGGAATGGATCCTCTTAGATTGATTTTTGACAGCTCCCTAAGAAAATTCAAATATACGAAGTTGGATGTTAAAGAGTAACTGGTGAGCTCTTGAATCCTTCTAAATCTGAATTTACCAGGACCGAGATAGTTGTAGGTAAAGAAGAAACACATTCTGCAACGAAATATTAGAACGTAGAACAAATCAACGAATTATCGTAGTGTTTTTCTTTTATTTATTTGAGTTATCGTGGCCTTGTGTTTTGTGAAGAATTCACTATTGACTAAGGGTGTGTTCACTATGAGCGTATTTGATAAAAAATCTGGATTTATTAAATTATTTAATTATTAAAAATTAAATTTGATATATTTGAATATATATCCTAATATAATATAATAACTTAACTATATAAAAGCGAGAAGGGAGTTTTGCTAACTTATATATATAACTATAACTATATATATAACTATAACTATAACTTAACTATAACTTAACTATAACTTATATATAACTATATATAACTTAACTATATAAAAGCGAGAAGGGAGTTTTGCTACAGCGAAGTTATGGACCGGTTTCGATGGTAATTCCCTGGATATTGGTAGGCATTTTTGGGTTTCGAGAGCATTCTTGTGTATTACTGATGTTGTACTTTGTGCTTTGACTATCCTCCGTTATTTTGGAAGGACTAATGGTAGCCTTTGTGGTGGGCCTTTTCGTGTCCTGCTGACTTTTGGCTACGGTGTAGCTTTTGCTTCTTCATCATCGAGGAGCTTTTGCCTGGCTTCCTTCCCAAATTCCTATCATCAGCACAAATTTATAATTGTGCACATGTTTAATTAGACATCTACCTCTATCTACCATAAAATTACTATTTTCCTCACAAATCAAACCCACATTTTAGCCACAAATTATTCACAATCAATATACATGTAGAATCCAAAAAATTCATCAAAAAATATATAAGATATATATTTCATAAAATCAATAGATATACGAGAAGGTAATTTACACACATAAAAAATATGTATGAGAGAAGAGAAATAATACCAACAATAATCTATTAATCACATCATAAAAGCAAGACTCTTAATTTTTCACTCTTCTCAACTAAACACAATAATATGACTCTCTATAGATGACTTGATAAACAAGTCTTATAACCATAAGAAATTTTCTAATAAGATATTGATTCCTAAACAATAAAACTACCATAATTTAACTCCAATAGAATTACTAAAACCCTAATTTAACTAAAACACTATCAAATAACAATATGAAAATTTCTAATTTTGAATCTTGATTTAATATGCGGACAATACAAACTATCACTTTGTCTTTAAACAAGTCCATTAACACTTTTAATCATGCAATAACGTAACAAAATATTATAAATTTAACTAAACAGCTCCAACTCATAAAAATTATTACACACAAATTTTAAAATTCAATCATAGTATTGTACACAACCTACATGTGAGCCACTCCGCGCTAGGTGCGGGGACCAAAAGCTAGTATCATATTAAGTAGTAATAAGTGAATAGTTTATCACTTATTTTTTAAAATAAATTTTATCTAGAAAATTTAGTGTCAAGTTTTTCTTAAAAAATTTAATGTCACTTAATTAATTTAGATATTTAATTTTTAGTTATCAAACACGTTTGAATATATTAAGATCTGAAGTAACTGAATTTAAATATTGAACCTGGTTATCAAACAGAAGGAAAATAAGGCGACCTTCCAAAAAGGGCTAATTCCTTCAATTGTTGTCCAAAAAATAAAAAAGCGAAAGAATATTATTCTGACATGGGTATATTATAAAACTTATGTTTGCCGGGTTGACTAAAGAAAAAAAAATTTTTAAAATGCTGGGCTGCCAAGATGGAAATTTTTTATTTAATTTCCGCTCCCCGGCATTCTTGTGATCTAATAAAATGTGCAGTGAACGTGGACATACCAAACTCATATATAATAGTATAACTAACTGAGAATATACTCTCCACATTCTTTTAATCTCCTCGTTAGTTCCCTTTCCTTTTAAGAAGCAACCCACATGCAATGAGATAAAGCTAGCTTGGTCTTTTTCAAGAAATCCTCTCAAACTTTGCCTCGAAAAAGAAAATCAAAAACTAAAGTAACCAACAGATATTTTCGTTTTAGTCTCCAGTGCTCAATTAAGATGTCAATAATCTATAATCATCCTAGCAAGCAATTATATGTAAGTTGCAAGACCCTAAACTCTGTTACTCGCAGAAAATGTGGAACAAATTTAAGATACTCTTCTTTATGCATTTGCTATTGTGTGTCGTTTATGCATGAGCCAAATACTAGTATTTGACCAAATCCGTAAGCGGGTAACTAGTTACAAGAAAATGTGACCATTGAAGAAAAAAAAAAAATTCCTTCTTGGGTGAATTGTCAATATTCTTTCGATTTTTTATTTTTTAGACAATAATTGAAGGGATTCGCCTCAAAAAAAAGAAAAGAAACAATAATATAGAGTCCTCGAAGAGAGAAGGCCGTCCTCGAAGGAAAAGATGGCGGCCTTCCCGAAAGAAAGATGAAAAAAGAAACTGACAGCCAATAAATTTCAGTTTTCTCGTAGTAGTACTATGAAAAACATCCCATTAAAAGGCTAGCATGGGCAGCATTTGGGGTGCCTCAAAGATTAGCTACAAATTAAAAGGTTCAGCACTCAGCCGCCGCATATGGTATATGCTTTCTTCATCTGCATTCGGACCCAGCATCTTGATTCCCATCGAGCCACCACTCTCCTCTCCTTCCGCGGCGGAGCGTGGGGCACACAACTCACAAGATGGATAGCCTCTACTCATCCATCCATTACTGGCTCGTGGACCAGCCATTGGTCAGCCAGTTTGAATGGAAACAAGGCCACACATTTGCCTCCACCACACTCTTTCTCACCCTCACGGTCCTAACCTACCTCACTCTCACCTACGCTCTCAACCGCTTCCCGCTCCTCCCGACCCTCAGCCCCAACACCCTCCGCCTCGTCACCGCCGCGCACAACCTCATCCTCTGCCTCGCTTCCCTCGTCATGGCTGTGGGCTGCACCCTCTCCACCCTCCACCAAATGCCCCACAATGATTGGACATGGGCAGTCTGCTTCCCCGCCAACAACACCCCTCCCCGCGGGCCCACATTCTTCTGGGCCCAGGTCTTCTACCTGTCCAAGATTCTCGAGTTCATCGACACCCTGTTAATTATTCTGAGCGGGTCGCGCTCTCGACGGCTGTCGTTCCTCCACGTGTACCATCACGCGGTGGTGGTGATAATGTGCCATCTTTGGCTCTCTACTTCGCAGACGCTGTTCCCGGTGGCGCTCGTTACCAATGCTTCGGTTCATGTGCTAATGTACGCCTACTACCTGCTGGCCGCGCTCGGGCAGCGTCCGCGGTGGAAGAGACTGGTGACGGACTGTCAGATTATCCAGTTCGTTTTCAGCTTTGGGATTTCGGGTCTGATGCTGTATTATCATTTTACCGGGTTGGGATGCTCCGGGATGCTGGGCTGGTGCTTCAATGCCGTGTTTAATGCGTCGCTTTTGTATCTTTTCGTTGATTTTCATTCCAAGAATTATGCCAACAAAAAGAAACAATGATGATGACAACGATAAACTGCTGTCCCGGTGATTTGATTGATGTCATACAAATCCTGGCCGTCCCTGAGCGTTTAATGGCCAGGATTTGGCCTCAAAATTTTGTGCGGCTGAGATTACAAATTGTAACTCGATTTCTACGTCATGTATGGGCTCCACAAAAATTTGTTCTAAAGTTAGAGCGATGTACAAAAAAAGTTACACGATGTACAAAGAAAGTTACACGTAGTTGATAATGACGAAAATCGTCTGGGACGGTTGCAGGTTGCCCCGAGTCCCTTTTTTTCCCTTTGGTTTCGAGTTTATGACGTAGTACCAATTGCCATATTGCCAAATAGCATGTTAAAAAAAACATTTCCTATTGCTAAATGAGTGGCTGAATTTGGTAATTATAATGTATGACTAAAATCAAAGGAAGAAAATTTTGATTACTTAATAGTATTATGCATCATCTTTTTTCTCATATAAGCTGGTAATCTAGTCCCGTACAATGCTCAATATCTTAGACCATGAAAAAATTCCTCCCTTTTCCTTTTGAAAAGGACAAAAAGAACGTATGTTTAGGGGATTTTCATTAGTTTAAGCTTAGTTAGCTTCTTAATTTGCTATGCTCGTTTGGTACTGGAACCTTGCAGAAACATTTTTTGAGCACTGGGAAATATTCATCAAGTTGTAGTAAAATAAGTTGATGAACAGAGCGAAGAGACGACAAGTTTCTCTGAGAGAATTTGTATGGAAAGTGCCAGACAGAGGCAAGGTATCAGTTGATTGGGAACCAAGGAAGGAAGCCTCCCCCCTTTCTGCCTACCCACAGGCCACCGCTTCTTAGTAGTCTCTTCGTAACTCTCCTCAACACGTATTCTCTCACGCTTATAAAACTCACACTAATCATCTTTCAGCTTCTTATACCCCAGTCAAAGACCAAGAAGTGATATATGGCATCTCCTACTGGTGCACTTTCGACCATCTTGTTTGCCTGCCTTGTAGTTGTAACAGGTATAGAGAAGGGGGGCGGGGGATGCGTTAGTGGTTATGTTTCCGACCAAATTTTTAGTTGCAGAATGCTTCACTTCTCGGTTTAAATTTGTCAGATTTTATGACATGAAAGATGTATGTTTTCTTGAATAACAGGGATAATACTTGCCGAGTCCACGAACTTGACCATTATAAACGGCTGCAACGAAACCATATGGCCCGGTATAACACCAAACGACAATTCAGCACCAGATACCAACATCAGCGGAGGTGGTTTTCAATTGAAGCCTGACCAATCCGTTGTATTTTCAGCTCCACCTGGATGGAATGGCAGAATATGGGGAAGAACCGGGTGCGACTTTGACAAAGATGGCAGTGGTAAATGCGAAACTGGTGACTGCGGAAGCACCCTAAAATGCAAAACTCCGGGGCAACCGCCTGCTTCAATTGCCCAATTTGCCTTCGGTAACCTTGATTATTATGATGTTAGCCTTGTCGATGGCTTCAACTTGCCAATCACGGTAAAACCAATATCCGGAAAAGGAAATTGCAGCACCGCAGGTTGCGACAGTGACCTCAGGCCCCATTGTCCACCGGAGCTTGCAGTCAATTCCAGTGGGAAATCTATCGCCTGCAACAGTGCTTGTAATGTGTTCAACACAGACGAGTACTGTTGCAGAGGAGCATTCTCAACTCCCCTCACCTGCGTGCCAACAAATTATTCGAGGACGTTCAAGACCGCATGCCCTGCAGCTTATAGCTATGCCTACGATGACCCCTCCAGTATCATCACCTGTTCTGCTACAGACTATGTAGTCACATTTTGCTCGTCAACGTATATGACTAACTCGTGATAGATTACTGTTTAATGCTGAAGTGTTTATGCATGTTAGAACCTTTTCAGGTGAAGAGGAACTACTTATCAATCATTTACTCACTAAACCTGTTTCTTTGTTTCCTTTAGGAATCAAACACGGTGCACATATCATGACAGGACGCTTACCTGTAATGAAGCAAAGGGTCCAACCACATTTTCTCTTGTGGGGAACATGCTGCTGCTAGCTTTACCAACCGTATTGAACCTAGGATCTATGTTTTGATAGATAATCTTAGTGCAGGACAAATTTTGGCAATGGAATGTTGTTCCCCTTTATCATGTACTTAATTCCTTTTTGCTATAGTGGTGATTTTACGTTTAGTGCCTCCAAGTGTATAAATTATCAAGAGGGTGAAGATCTAACTCCATTCTAAAAATTTCTGGTAAGATTTTAATAAGATGCCGTCTGATCATCCAGATCTATACAAGCTACCTGACAACAAATTTCAGGTAAATACTCACTTGTATTCGACAAACAAGTGATGTTAGCAAGGCTTACATATTTACATCTGCAAAAAGCTTCAAAAAGAATAAAGAAGGTTATATACCTTAGGCCTGATGGTTGCTCATTCTGCTTGATCACTAGCATGCAAGGCAACCATGCGTAAGGTTCGCATCAAATAGGGCATAGGATTCCACCATTTACACTCTGTCACCGTTATAAAGCACTGCTACAAAATTGTAGTTTTGCACCCTCTAAGGCAATTTGTTTTGTGCTTCTGAAGGGGTTAAGAATAAACAGGTCCTTCCTGTTTCCCAAATTTCACCAATGCTTTGGGGAACTAGTTTTGACTGTATCTAAACTGATTCTATCTTATTTGTTAATTCAATCATCTGCCAAAATTGATCAAGACTCTCTCTTACCCTGAATGCTTACTGAATTTGCCATGCTCCTGTTTACACTCAATGCCTTGGACCCATCAACCTCGTATGGCAGTACAACAACAGGGGCTGCTGGTACAGTGCCCCAACGCTCCTTCAGAAATCTCCTAAACGCTAAAACCATCTGCCTCCGGAAATTGAGCTCCCTTGTAAAGAGATCAAATATAAGAAATGCCAGAATGTACTTGAATGGAACAAGGAGGAGAATTGTAGCACTTAGTAATAGCAGCAGAGCAACCTCTGTTGTTACCTGAAAAGAATTGAGAACCCAGTGAAAGAAAAAACAAAAAGAGAAGGCTGTAATCCTAAAAATTTCATTATGCAACAAGACAGACACAAATTTTTAACCCCAAAATCCCAGAGGCCAAAAAATCTATTCTGAAATAAAACAACATCCGGATCATTTAGTGATGGGCCTCTACATTCTCTTTGATATACATCATTAACCTTTTCGGATCAGCTTCTATTGCATAACTTCAGAAGCAAGTCAATAAGCTATTTCAACGCTTCATACTAATCTGATCATGTTAGCATGGCCAACTTTTTTAAAAAAAAACTTATTTTCCTCCAATAGTTATAAAGCTAACCTAGTATGATAAACCTGCATATCAGATGATAGAGACCCACCCTCACCTTATTGTAAGAATCAAGAGCAATCATTTATTTGAAACACTTAGACCTACTTGTGATTTAACAAGAAGTATTTGCATGTTTCTGATTGCAAACGAAGATAGAGGGTTATCAGAGAAAATAAGGGGATAAATAATATTTAGTTTCTTTCATTATGGTTTGTTCATATAAAGAGAACCACTGTTTTCCACTGTCCACTAGAACGAGTTATATAATGTGCAAATTTACGATGATAAACAAGTTTTTAAACAGAGGAAAATGTGAGAAGAAAGAATTCTAGATGTGAGGGAGAGAAAAAGATAAAAGAACACAAGAAAAAGGTGAAAAAGAAACGTTCCACCCCAACCATCTGCCACCCCTTTTACCTCAATTTTTGCGTCACAGTCCATAATCCAGACCTATCAACATCTCTCCCCCAGTTTACGCCTGGTTTGCCTGTTTGGGTTGTCTCTGTTTGCTTCTTTATCAGTGCATCTACTGTAGTTGTTTGTGGACCTCTGCCATCTTTTCAGTGTTAAGATGGCAGTGTTAAGGATTTTTGTCCAAAGAGGAATGAGGAGAGTTTGTTTGCTTTACAAAGAAGAGGTGAGCTTGTCTTCTGTCTGAAGAGTTGTTATCTTGGAGTGTAGCATTACTTTTTGGCATTTATCAATGACATAACTCTGAATTTTTAGGGGGCTGTTCATCTTAAGCTCAAGTCAAATATTAAAATGTAATTTTGACGTCTAGTGGAATCTAGTATTAATATGGACAGATGTCGAGGTATACATGTAATTAATTAACAGGAAATGAAATCGAAAGATAAATGGCAGGATAGACAACAAGAGAAGAGTTGAATTCACCTTAATTGCATGCAATACATCTACAAATTCATCTCAAGCGATTTCAAAACTTGACTGCCAAGTTAAAGTGAGTTCAAGTTCCAGCATACCTGAGGCTGGCCAGCAAGAATAATTGTTCGGATTTTGAGCAGGGAAATGTTAAGATCCTGCATAAACTTCTCCACTTCACGCATGGCCTGTTTCAAAGCAATAATTTTTTGAATTGTATTTGATGGTGGCTGATCACGTATGGTAACTTTTCCAAAATATCTTCCCAAGCGACCTTGTTCCTTAAGCCCCTTCAACAATAACATGCTGGCAGCCAACAGCATCAATGTCATCGGGAACAGATAAGGGAGCATGTTTCTGATCAAACAGATAGCAGAATGATTTGGGATCAGTAATCAAGTGTCGCTGATGACATTTGTCAGTGTCAAAAATCCAAAGGACTGAGGTCATGCAAGGTGGTCTACCAAATTGACCGAGCAAAGAAAAGTTTGAACTTTGTCCAATTTAAGAAAGTAGTCTTCAATCACGAATGGAAAGAAGCATTATTGGAAATTACAAAAACATTGTTGGTTTTAATACCTTTTTTTCGAAAGTATAGAAGTTCTAACTAGAAGACTGCAAACAGTATATTTTTGTTCCCTTCACTGAATGTTTTCTAACTCTCAGTCTGTTCCCACTTCACCAAAATTCATCAATCTGTTCCCACTTCAACAAAATTTATCTCATTCACCAAGCACACATGCAAGTAAGAAATTAAGAATTGCATCCCCATCTTATGATGGTTTCTTACTGTATGAACAGAAAGCATTGTCTGCAAATTGTCATCACAAAATCAATTTGAAAACCACAAGAAAGAGACTTGGCAAAGGAGATTATCCAAATGAATATAATGTAAAGGATTTGACTTCACAAATTCACCCTAGTAGGATGGTTATATGTGTTGAAGCCATCAGCATAGGCAATGACATTTATCAGCTGAATTGAATTTTCTATGAATTGTTTAACATGCCAGGATCCCTAATCACATGAGAGGAATTAATACTGAGAGCAGAGTTTAAGGCCTCCCATACTCGAGAGAAAGAAAAATAGTAATAAAAATCACAATGTGGAAGGAAATCAGAATGCTATTCCTGCAAATTCATGGCAACAGAATTTGATTCTTCATGCTTTGATTGGTCATAAAATGGCAATTAGTTCGAATCCACTACAACAAATGATAAACTATTTTTATCAAGATAGCAGGAATAACTAATACACTTGCAAATTTGGAAAGTAAGAAAATTACTAAATTAACTTATTCTAGTATAAGAACCAGAAGTTCAAACGACAAAACATGAGTGTCATGAAACCACAGCCATTTTACCTGAAGATGATAGTATACACAAACACAAGAAATGATGTAGTCACCAAGGGCTCCTCCCAGCGTCTAAGTCGTTCAAAATTATTGGCCATAATAGTTAAAGGAAGTATGAGTTCCTGTTAAATACCAAAAAATATATATATATATTCAAAGAGAGTACTAAATAATCATGTTAAACAAAGATAAAGAGGCTTAGTGACATAGTATATGCAATAAGATGATCTTCAATCTGATGGAGAGAAAAGTAGGATTATCAGAAACAATAATCTAGATTAATTCATCATGCACCAAAAAGAGCAAAAGTAATCCCACAAAGATCGAGAGATATACATCCACATTAGTTGCATATCTAGATCTTCCCCGACACAAGCTGGTTAGACTCAGGACAAGGAGTGAAGCAATTACATTTTGCCGACCCAGATTTATTCCTAAAGCTCAGATGTATAGGCATGAGACAAGTACTTTAAAACATAGAAATAACCTCAACTATTGCACTAGTTATGGTATAAAAGAGTAAAGAAAAAATTTCAGCATCCCTACAAGGAGATATAACAAGAGACATGATGATAAATTGAAAATTTTAGAAGACATGCAGATTAGTTAATCTAGGACAATGAAATTTCATTTAAAATATAAGACTGTAAAGTCCCAAAAAAAAAAAGAAAAGAAAAACAAGGAAAAGACACGTTTAGTAAGCAAAAACTTGAACTGTAATAATGCTAAAGCATCCAAAAATTTTGAAATGCACGTAAGACTTCATTTACTAACACTGAGAAGTTTACTAAGATTTAGGAGCATGGGAAGACACAGAGTAGAAATGAATGTCATATGCCCCAACACAACATATCACTATTAAATTTAAAACGGATTAATCTCCAAGAGTCCAGCCTTGTGATCTGTGAAGACATTTTAATACATGATAGCTTAGATTTCATATAGCAAGAAATATCAAGCTTATATAGGAAACATAATGAAGATTTAGAGAATAAATAAGACCAAGATAAAGGCCAGGCAATTCCAACCTTAAAAAGATCAATATTACTCGGTATTCCTTCAATCATTGCAGCATTTATTGTTGCTTGTGTTTTTTCAGCTATTATATACTTATCTCTGCATACTATTGCTGCCTTTTCCACCAATGACACCCCAGCAATGACATGATTTTTACTCAGTACTACTCCATTTCTCATGGAGAAGTGCTTCCAGAAGGCAACTGCAGCATTAGAAAACCAAGATGGAGATGTCATCCACTTCCGCAAGTACACACTTCCATCTATGTCAAACACATGATTACTACTTTCAGATGCATCCTGAGTGGATATTAGATGTTGGCCTGGTTGTTTGTCTCCATCTGTAATTTTTGAAATCAACGGTCCAGCCCAGAAATTAACAGCTAGAGTTTGGAAAACCACATCACCATAAGGAGCATGTTGCAAAAAAGAGAAAGGGACAAGTTTAGTAGGTTCATCCAAGAGTCTTCGCATTTGTTGAAGAGCCTGGAGTCTAGCAATAGCATTGGTAGCGCAAGTAATTGCCTTTGCCTTCCCTTTGTGAGCACCGTGTACATAGTACACAGATTGGTCACCATCCTTGGGTCCAAATTCTTGTATAAATTTGTGTAAAGCATTCACTTCATTAATAAATGCATACCATACATCTCGTCTCATTTCACCTCCCAGGTCAACAAATTCCAGGACCCATGTTTCAGACCTAATTGGATGCACCACAAAGTAAACAAAAAGTTTGTAACCTAACCAACTTCAACATAAGGATGCAAGTGGACCTCAGAAGTGACAAACAACTAAAAAATCCTTAGCTTTCTGTTGTTTTGTGAGGCAAAGCCTTGTAACCTCATGTATGAAATCTATTTTTTTTAAAACAAAAAAGCGAACAGGAAGTTTCTCCAACATATTTAGCAGTTCTTGAAACTTTAACAATTTGAACCAACTATTTAGGGAATTTTCAAGTTCACAATCCAAATAATGAGTAAAATCCCATGAATGAATTTGAATAAAATAATTCCACAGAACAGGTCAAAGAAGCTTACTCACTCCAGCCCGGAGGTAACAGATATAGCAGAGTCAAAAAGATCGGTTCCCAGGGGCCCAACCCTTGTTCTCTTTACTTGTGAACCATCTCTTGTAAGATCCAATCTCACTGCATCGCTTTGGCCTTTTAAGCCAATTCTCTGGAAAGAAGTTTAAGAGTTAAATGAACTAAGCTGCAAAAGAATACCTTGTATGGATGCTGGAAACTACGCCAAGTCTCATCAACCTTCATAGTTCCATTTTATGGTAAAAGAGTACATAGACAATAATTTGAAGTTTACTAATGATGAACATAACCGATAAGATAGACAATAAGTAGACATCCCTAAGCTCCATTCCATGCATTCAGCAGAAATAGCAAGTACCTCAAAGTACAATGCCCCATCAGTCAAAGTTAGTTTTCCTGGCCATACTATGTTGTTCTCCCATTTCAACACTGGCGGCTTTCTGCTTGAACTGAGGCACAAAATTTTCTCTCCAAAAGGCTTGGGGGACCCTTGGGACTCATATGATTTTCGTCCTTCATGAATCCTACATTGGATAAATTTTGAAAAAGGAATGAAAACTTTCTGAATGGGTTCACCAACATGCTTGCCATAAGCATGAGAATACCATCAAATAACTCTTTGACACATATATGCCTATAGATGCAATCTACTATTTGGAAGACTCGTAAGCAAATTTAGTTCATGCTCACTTCAGAAGTTGGTCAATGTATGTAGACCACGAGCCATATGAGATCCCTTGTTCATCACGAGCAAGAGCTTTGAAAAGGTAATGTGCAGTGGACCAGTCAGCTACACCAGAAATAGCTGGAGCTATACGAACAAAAGCAGCTTCTCCTACAAGCTTCCTCTTTGAGTTTCAACAAGAAGCAATATGGTAGTTGTTGCAGTCAATATACTGATGTACATTAGGAAGTAACATATCTTTGATAAGTAAAAAGAGTTTTTCCCAATAGGAACTGCAAAATCCAGAGAGATATAGAAGAATCATAGAAGTTACTTATTGCATGGAGTGTTGAGACTCTAATCCATCTCATTCCAACTGATAAACTATGATACTCCTAGTGAAGCTCTTTACATGCTAGAATAGGATTAGGGCTAACCAGAGTATTGCATTAGGTGACAAAATTGGTAGAAGTATGTCACATGCAAATCCATTGATTCAATTTGCCTCCAAATAGCTAATACGGTTCTGTCCTATTACCGTGCTTTACTAACTGAATATCTATCCTTCTATGGATCCGACTTTGCTAAAGATGCTAGGATATTAAAAGCAAGATATCCTGTTGTCACCTAGAGGACATCAAAATTACTGGACGTTGAGAACAGTAACAGGAAGTCCAGTAAACATCTTTTTACTCAGTTGAGTCACTGGTACAGAAATTTAATCAGCATATATAACTTGACCAAGTCATCAATATTCTACCATAAAACCCCAAGGCACCATCTTATAAGCCAATTAATGCACATATCCCATTCAAAGAATTGGACTAAAGAAGGAATGGGTACAGAAATAATACAAATATGATGCTCAAACAGCCAAAATAGTAGAAACCTTGAAAGAGTCTCTGTCTGAGGCCTCAGCCTGGGAATCCTTTCCGCTGCTGTATGGATGCTCCCATGCAACCATGGTTACAAAAATAAGTTTCCGAAATGCACAATCCTATGATCACAGCAAAAATCAAATACTCATGCAACAAAGAAGTCATCACCCTCTTCTACAAATAAGATAAAAACCACAAAAAGTACTTTGATCCTTCTCTGTTTTATCAAAACAATGGCATCTCTGTTAGCCAAAAGAATATCATACAACTAAACCTAGATACAAGCAGGGAATTTGATCGATTGTACTATGTCTACAAACCTTCAGGGAAGGATGAATATCTGAACTATCTCTGGACAAAAACCTGAAGCAACAGTATTCGACTAAATTACGAGCATTGTTGTATATCGGTCCAGGAACAAGGGCTCTAAATATCTTCTGCATTTTTTTCCCAGTCAATCCATTCATCCTGCATAAATTAACTCTTATTTCATCTATGGATCCAAGAAAGACATCAGGCAAAACCAATGTCATCAAAATTGCATGATGATAATGAAAGTTATCAGAATCCGTTGCAAGACGTTTCTTATAATTTGAGTTCATAAAAATTCATTTTTCTTCAGGACTTCTTTCCACATCCAATCATTAGTCACACTGATGTTTTGCACAGTAAAGAGGATAACCAAAAGAACAGATAATATGAAGAAACAAACAGAGTTTCCAGAGGATATAAAAATCTACAAATTTTCAAAGAAAACTAAAACAGATAATAGACACGTAAAAGCTTTCAAAGGATATAAAATCTAAAAGGAACAAATATCCTCGTTTGAGTCAAAAACTTTATACGCATATAATACAGGCAAATAAGCTAAAGTTTGTGATGCAATGTTCTCGTCTTCAGCTGACACAAGTTTGTGAAGCAAGTCTCTTTTTGAAGATTTTCATGATTCATGTCAAAAAAATGATCCAAATCAAAGAATAAAAGAGAAAATTGCAGAGTCTACCAACGTTTTACCATAGCCCCCCTTCATAAATGAAGGATTCATTGCTCCTAATGGTAAAGAAATATCTATTTTCTGCCAAATTGAGACATATCCACTAGATTAACATATCTGAGTGTAAGAAAATCATAAATCACACTAATCCTTGGGAAAAGCTAGTTCAGGATGATTACAGAGTCAGGCAGTTGATGACACATGAACAGAAATGAACCAAGATGAAAGGGCACAGACTTGAAACTCAGCAAATCTGACACTATGCAGGTCACAGAATAAGATTTAAAAACCAAATAGAAAGGGACAGGAAAAGAGAAAGATGGAGAAAATGAAAAAGCTCTTTCCTTGATGCCTAATAGACACAGTGTGACGTTACGAAGCTTCCCATCTTAGCATCTAGCTCCTTCCATCTTACAGTAAGGGCGTTCTTAGGAATGCAAAAATTTTCTTTTGAATTTTTAAGTTAAATAATTAACTTTTTATAATCTATATATATTTTGATGATGATTACACATCAGAAACAAATTCTTTTGAGCTTATACAGGACATAATCATAAACTTTTCATGCTCTCTTAAAGTAGCTAGAGATGAATCAGTTCAACTATCTGAGTTGCAACATTTCGTAATATGCTTGACAGCAGACACAAGTTCGTCTTCTTCAATAAACTCAGCGAATTCACACGAACTAGGTGTATATCCAGTCCAATAATTGAAACTCTACTTTATTAGTATTTAGTGTTTCTTAGCTCCGGGTTAGAATCCTCAGTTAAGCAGCACAAGATAAGTTAGTATTAAGCTCTTGCAGCTCTCATTTTTCAGTTCTGCATACTTAATAAACCCAGAAACATACTTTCGGGAAATTCTCCCAGTTGAAATTCTGGCAAAGCAGCAAAAACTGGGGTGGACTCGATGCCTAAATTATGCAACACTAGACCCAGCAAAAGTTACATGGCCAATTCTAGTCCAAGTGGAGAAAATAATGAAGAAAAAGCTCCAGTTAGTTAGTTTATGTCCACCAGATGATTTGCAAAAAAAGCAGACAAGAACTGTTGAATCGGATAGGACCATGACGTTGCACATATGGCACCCTTATTACCTGCTAAATTGCTCAATAGAAACAATGGCAGGTAGGGACAGATCTCCACTGGGTGTTTTGCTGTTAATTGTCTGTTCAGCCAAGAAAATGTCCCCCAAATCTCCAGCATCATCCTGAACAACAGGTTTCCTATCGTTTACAGTTTTTACCAGTGGAGTCGTGACTTCATTCAAAAAGTTTTGGGTCCTTGAGATCCAATGGTTTAGTGATTCTTGTACTGCATCTACCAAAATAGCATGAAATTAGAACAGCTAGACCAAAGAAAATACAGAAAATTCACAAAGCTTTTCATCAAAAACAACTGAAGTTCATTACAAGAAACACCTGTAGTCCTAATTACAACTCCTACAGCAACAACTGACATGGAACACAGCAACTTGAATTCAGTCATTCTTTGATATATTTGATTTCTGAATAGACTCGTAATGTGTAATATGTAGCTCAAAAAGCTTAACTTACAGATGAAAGAAAAATAATTTACATTCTAGTTCTAGATTATATTAGCAGTATATTTCATTCACTTTTCTTTATCCTGGCGTAACTGCTTCTGCTTTGTGCATGGTAAGGAGAACATATATCGTCTGCAGATATCCCATTATGATGAAACCTTACATCTTTCGCCTAGACCTCCACCAAATTTACAATCTTCCAAACATATTAACAATCCCATATCACGAAATTTTCAAATTTTTATAGTCAACTCCCAAGAAAGTGTCCAACTTTCGATCATCATCATGTCCGTATAATATATAGTCAGTGTGAAACGCATAGACGGGGGAAAAAAAAGTAATATGCCAATAACTAACCAAATGAGCAACTAAAGACAACATAAATCCTGTACTCCATAACGTTCAGCCTTTAATTATCCATCAAGAACTGCCTCTAAGAAAGCTTCTATTACAAAAATTGAAAGCTCAAAAAGCCAAAACCAGAAAGTTCAATCCAAACAGTGATAAGCTATATTTTCAGTCAAGGTTTAGAATGAAAGTGGTAGTCCATGTAAAGGAGAATTTTCCTATCGGCTTATAAATTGATTTTTCTATGTAAAGAAAAGCAATCTACAATCAGCAGAGTTTCAGCAAAGTATCTTACAGGCTTTAGCACCAGTGGGAACAAGTTAATTAAACCGCTGTAAGTATTATATATTTGAACTCACTCGCATCGATCTCAGTGAGCTTCCGTCTACTATTATCCAGCAGAGATCGACCCAGAATCTTGAAATTAAACTTTTGGTCAGCAGATGAAGATGACGAAGAAGTTTTGTCACAGCAAATAATCTTAATCCTGCAGGAACCTTGATGATGATGATGCTGATGATAAGAGAGCAGAGCAAAAGGTGGTGCCGGTGGTGGTGATGGTGATGAGCTAGCAAGTTTAAAGTGGCCCTTTATCGAGAATCCTGTCTGCATATTTCTTTCTTTGTATTTTCCTTTTCTGATTGAAATCCCAAGAACTACAGATTACTTTTCCAAGAAACAGGAAATGGTTGTATGAAGTTAACTTGCACAGTTGCACTAGTATTTGCTGAGGAAGAATTATTGGGGGAGTAATAGTAAGAATGAATTGGTGGGTGTAATAGTAAGAATGAATAACAATGAGGGGATCAGCGATGAGCACGAAAGAATACTTTGGAGTTTGGACTTCCTGTTGGTGAAGACGACAAAATGGGGACTTCCAGAGACGGAAGAGAGAGATGAGCGTGAGAGCGAAGTGAGCAGTGTGTATCTGCGTGTTTGCAGATTTTGTATGGGAGCGAAATGTTGGTTTTGGGGATTTATTTATGGGTTAATTCCACTTTGTTCCCCCAAATTTTGAATGATTACCCGCTTCAGTCCCTAAATTTCAAAATAGGACACTTAAGTCCCTAAACTTATAAATACCTCCCACTTGAGTCCCTAAATTTATAACATGGGACACTTAAATCCTTAAACCCTTATAAAATGAGACACTTCGACCACCAACAGCATTTAGGATTTGTTAACAATTTTCCTTAAGTGGGAGGTATTTATAAGTTTAGGGACTTAAGTGTCTCATTTTCAAGTTTAGGGACTGAAGTGGGTAATCGTCCAAAATTTGGGGGGACAAAGTGGAATTAACCCTTTATTTATTGCTGAAATTGTAATTTTTTGGGTATTGTATCCATAAATTAAACATGTTCGTTCTATGACCAAATAAAGATTTTTTTTTTATTCTTCGATTGTAATAATTTCAATCATTTAAAATATAGATATTTATTTTCATTTAGGAATATAAATTGAGAGAATAGTTTAAAGAGATCATAGAATTGCGTTTATTTATGATCGCTTAATCGACTCATGATTATATTAAAGAATTGCAAAAAAAAAAGGGAGAAGGACCTTTCCTGTGACAAAAATAAATTCAAAAACAAATAAAATCTATGAAATACGAGGACGAGAGACCTCTATAATTACTAGTTCCAACTATACCGTAACATTAACATAATAAATATAGATATTAGAGTAATATAGAACAATAAAAGTAAACAGTAACACAATGACATATAAAATCATAACAAATTTTAAGGCATAAATTTCAAAGAACGAAATTTTTTTTATATTTTTTACTTATTGTTATTGTGTTAATATATATATTTATTGTTTTAAGTAGTATTTATACTCGCTCTGTTAATAACTGCAATATTATTGTACCGTGCAATTGCACTGATAATTGTAGAGGCCTTGATCTGAAGAAAGACGACTGTTGTCTTTTCAACCGGATAATTTGCCGATGTATCGAGCAAAATATTTGTGCTGTATTATTCTTTATTACCAAAAGAAAAAAAAAAACTAGATAATCATGGAGGAGGTATGGCGGATTTTTGTTTGCTTTACTCTGGGCTCAGAGCTGTGATGGGCTGACGCGTGGATGGTTGGGGGGGGATGAATATTAAAATATTAACGTGTTAACGGAGAGAATCATTTTATTACTGTTCTTTTTAGGAATGAAATGAGAAAGTCAAATTTGATTGGCTACTCATAGGACAGAGAGACAACGGCGGGGCCCTCTTGTGAATTGTCATTCCGCTCAACAAATCGCAGGTGTGTTACATGTTGATGGCTAAATCCGAGCTCGAACGATAGGAATTTAGGGATAATTTCAGAAACCTTGCTCGAGATTTCTGACAATTTCATCTAATATCTTTAAAATTTTTAATATTACACTTACCTCCCTTGATACTATAAAATAACCATAATAACTTTAATATATTAATATTTTTTATGCAATTAAATATTCAATGGAAACAAAAACAAGATCACTTATAGAATGACTAATTATGTCCTAAATATAATTCTAACATATTAGAAATTAATTTTAGTTTGGTTTGAAATATCTAAAGATGGATAGAAAAAGATGTAAGCTGAAGATTTAAATATAACAGACATTAATTGGTACTCCAACATTTGAGGGATGATATGTTATATTAATACAGTTAGTGAAATTTTTTAAGTTTAACAGTACTGATTTTTTTTCTTTTGTTACTTAGATTGAGATTTTAGAATTTAAGGACTGATGGTAGCGATGGCCATGATGATAATGGTACTAATTTGAGATGTAAGAATATGAAAAGTTTAAGATAGTAGAGAGGAGCATTGAAAGTGGATTTGAGATTTTGTGCATATTTCATATATTTTTTTATAGAATTTTATAAGAACGTAAAAGGAACTTCACAATTTCATGAGGGCAATTTGGGTTATTCATTCAAAATTTTGACTATTGAATAGTTTTTGTTACCAAAATGGTAAATTCAAGGGAAGTATGTGTAATTTTTAAAAGTACTAAGTAAAATTGTTAAAAATCTCAAGGGAGGTTTCTAAAATTATCCCTTGAATTTATTATGGAGTCGAACTTGACCTCTTAAACATTTTACTTGAAAGTTTGCTGAGCTTGAGATTGAGTTTGAGGTCAATCTTGATTTGCTTCTCAAACAAGTTCAAGCTTGTTATTTAGCACTTACATTTAACACGAATCAGATCTTGAGTTTCATAATTAAATATTTGTCGAGGTTGAGCTCAAGTTGAACTCAGATAATTTATTTCGAATTTGAGTTCGAATTCGAATACACTTGTATTCAAGCTCAATTTAGTTGATTGCCACCCTTAGACTTGATTCATTTTTCATATACCTTCGGTGGACTCAACTCCACAGTTCAGTAACCATTGTACGCTTTTGGACACCATTCCCTGGTTAAATTCAAAGTACTCTATCTAATTTTGCCTCACAAAAAATGTAAACAATAAACAAAGGAAAGTGCTCTCTCCTTCCATGGTGGCACAATCTTTTATTTAGGAGAATTAGTTTAATTACAGTTGCAACATGGATCTAGTCACTTTTTATGATAAGATTGTAGGAAGTAATATAGCTACTAAACTAATCTACAAATGATAGGAATTACAACTGAACCATGTTTCAATTAGACCACAAATAATTGAAGATAAAGACTTAATCTACAAATAATTGAAGGAAAGTGCTCTCCCTCTGCTTTTTCTGGAGTCTCAATCTTGTCTGCTAAACTAAAGCGCAATTCGAACCCCCAGAAGGACAAAAAAAAAGGTCTTTCTATTGGGCTTGTCTTTTTTCTTTGGTCCAATAAACAGACGGTTGCAGACCAATTTTTAGTAGGCCCAAATCCTGAAGCCCATCACTCAAACAGCAAAGCAGACAAGGCATCTTCTACTGTTATTTCAGAGCTCCAAGTCAGCACTTCCACCATGGCGACTAGCAGCACCATGGCCTTATCCTCACTCCTTCCACCGCAAACGCTCCACCTCACCAGTTCCCACCACCCTCCCAATTCCTCCCTCAAAGTCTTCTCTTTTCCAACCAGATCACCACAACAGAATTGTCATCCTAAGAGCATCCTCTCAACTTCACCACCTTCTTTTACTTGGCTGCCATCTCAAAAGTGGAGAACCTATATTTCTTTCTTCCCAGCTTTCTTCAAAAACAAGACCAAAGATGCAAAGGCCATCAAAGAAGAACTTCTTGAAGCCATTGCACCTCTTGATCGTGGGGCAGAGGCCACTCCTGAAGACCAGCAAAGCATTGATCAGGTTTGCTTATTCTGTAGCTTCTCTAGTTATCATGCCTGTCGTTTTGGTTTTCGTTGAGTATATCAATTTACTACAATCTCCCTCCAACTTAACTTACTGCTACAGTGCTAACCTTGAAAAAAAGAGTGAAAAAAGCCGCCCACAAAAAAAAAAAAAAGACTTTTTTTTTGTTTTGTGAGGGCTGTGGTCTCCATGCATATTAGACCATTCTTGACATTTGATTCTGCATTTTCGTTCTTGACTTTGTTCTTGGTTAGATTAGATTACTCGAAAACTAGAAGCAGTAAGTCCAATAAAGGAGCCATTGAAGTCTGATTTACTGAATGGCAAATGGGAACTCATATACACAACTTCCCAGTCTATTTTGCAAACCGAGGTAAGTAACTGATGTTTGAGCGATTCCAGTAATTTTTGTGGTTCTAGTACTTTTTATACTTCGGTGAAATGAGAGCGCTGTTATGGATTGGTGTAAACAGAGGCCCAAAATCTTAAGGTCTAAAACGAATTATCAAGCGATAAACGTGGATACACTTCGGGCTCAAAATATGGAATCATGTCCATTCTTCAATCAGGTACTTCTGGGCATCTTTTACATTTTACATTTTTATTCCTTATTTTAGCTTGTTCTATATCGGTTCTACAAAGTTTTTAAAAGCTCATCTCTGAACCGTTAATTCAAGCAAGAAACTCATCAAGTAGGCTTCTGCAGGCTTCCAGTGCCATAATTGACTGATGAAATCAGCATTTTATCCCTCATCAAGTGGCGTTGCAGCAATATTGTTGTCTGATAATATACATTTTTCTTATGATTTAGTGTGTTCTAGCTAATAAACATCTTCTTCTTCTTCTTTTTCAAATTAAATCGACAGCATTTCCCATATGGTGGTGTAGCTAAACTTTTGTCATCAATTAGAATTTGGCTATAGTCACATTCTACATATTTATCATGGTAAACAAAGGAAAATCGCTCATGAACAATCAGAATGATTTTAGTGACTGCTTCTCAGCACATAATCTGACCTAAAGGAAAATTTCTTGCTAGTTTTAGAATGGCTTGAGATAAAGACTATTTTGTAGTGATGCACTTCTTAAAACTCCAAAAGCATAATACTGAGAGGCGTTCCTCAATATTCAGGGGCTCCTTTTTTTTTTTATTCCTTCCATTTGCAGTTGACCTTACATTAGGCTGTTAAGTTCGGGTTCCTTATTCTGGATTTTTGAGTTATATACGAATAATTAATGGGCATGAACTCAAGTCCATTGAAAATTACATGTCTTGTAGTTGAAATATAGCCAAAGAATACCACAAGCTTTTCAGTTTTTCAACTCTCAAGGTAAGTAGAAAAAACTAGTAGCCTTCGACCAAAATCTGAATTCAACTTTTACTACTGCACTACCTTCAATGACTTTGGCTTTTTTTCATATCTACTGCAGGTTACTGCAGATTTAACACCTCTAAATGCAAGGAAGGTGGCTGTAAAATTTGATTACTTTAAAATTGCTGGACTGGTAAGCCTTTAATTCTCACAGATTAACAATGCTTTTACATATGCAAGAACAAAGCATGTCGTTAGATATGTGTTATACTATTCTGATTGCTTACATAATGAAAATTAGTGGAATCTTCAAGTAGATGGCATTACCAGTCAATTGTTACAGAAATTAAAATTTTGAATTTTTGCCCAGTTTACCTTTAGCATATTAATGGTAATAACATCACTCTAAATAGCTGCTGAACTGAGAATTTTGAAACGAACCAAACTTTTCTAATGATGTTTGCAACACTCAATATTGTGGTACTAAGTGTAATGGCTGACTCACAGTCGATACATAATTTTAGAAACAATGGTAGTGGTCTTTGTGAGTAGGACTAACCTCAAGTTGGTCTCTAATTTTCTTTTTTTCAGACGCTGTAGGACTGATTGCACTTTTAACATGGCATTTTGAACAAATTAAGATGTAGAATAACATGAGTGCTTGATGTCATTGGCTTGCAGATACCCGTCAAAGCTCCTGGAAGAGCTAGAGGTGAACTAGAGATTACATACTTGGATGAAGCGCTTAGGTGAGCTTCATTACTGGTTCAGTAGATTATTAATCATGAACCTTCTCATAAACTCATGTAATTTTGACGCTTATCATCTTCAAGCTTCTCTTAATACAGGAATCTACAGCAATTTAGGATCTTGTCAGCAAATGGAACTGACATTAGGTTGCAGCATACTTAGCTCCATTTAGTTTACTATATACGTGGAAGTAATTGCTATGTCCGGTTGCAAAAGTGCAGGTGATTATGCTAAAGAAGTAATTGGTAAGAGGAATTAGAACAACTTAAGCAGGTTCAAAAGGATTTGTTATCCTCTCAAGCTTCAATATGAAGTTTTATTGGCTAAACACGTTAGCGGAAAGCTCCTTTGTCCATGTCTTGATTAGTAAATTACTCAGATTATACGAACCACCAGTCTGGATTTGGTTGATTGTTCAAACATAGCTATTACCTGTTGCATTTAGTTGGGGATACAAATTACCATAGCAATTAACAACTTGTTCTGGGAGTGAACAGGAATAAAAAGCGGTGAGGACCCATTTCGCAGCACAACTTGCACAGATTCAGTGGGGTTTCTACTTCTGAAAGCCAAAAAATGGAGCCCTCCAGTGATTTTGCTCCCTTTTTTTCTTTTAAAACATTTGTTGGTAGGATAGTTCAGAATCTCTGGTTCTCTAGAACTTGCCAGAATGAGTCCTCCTTTTGTGCAGTAGGAACAGAATTATTTGAGAGGGATCAAGCACTACTATTTGATCTTTATTTTCGAAACGTGTCTAAGCATACGTTGCAGCTCAAGTCGCTAAATTTATCTTATTTCTTCCTATTTGATCTTATTTCTTATTTGATTCTTCCTGAATTGAGAAATCATAACGCTTGCTTATCTTATTTCTGCAAATAGAATTGGATGACTGTAAATCAGCAACATCTAGAACTGTTAATAACTGCACCTTTCCTTCCATTTTTGTCCCTTTCTTTTTCCTTGGCAGAGTATCAAGAGGTGATCTGGGGAACCTGTTCATCTTGAAGATGGTTGATCCGTCCTATAGGGTACCTACCTGAGCTAAAATCTATCAGAAGCAACAGGACAGACGAGTTCTAAACTGATTCTTATACAAGGAGCAAGAATAGAATAATATCTGAGTGTACTATTGCTTACTTTTCCATATCCAGAATACTTGGCCTTGAGATGTGCAATATTGTAAACTTCATAACGCGGCATACCATAGACTAGAGCGGCATCCATGTACAATATACATACATTACAGTCTCAAGAGTACAGAGCTAATTATTATTCATCAAATGCTTCTACAAATGATTATGGCACCCTACTTGCAGGCTGCTTAATTCTGAATTTTAAAAACCCCAGCAACAGAAAAAGGCAGAATATGAAAGGATGAAAGCGCGTAAAACATTCAACTAGGATTGGTGGGGTGCGCCAGGGCCAGGCTTTAGTGCAAGGCCAAGGCGACGCTCGAGAGCCCCGGCAGCAAGCTGCCGTAGTGGGCTCTCCCCCTGAAAAAATTGAGTTAATATCGTGTGGGCCGATGGCCCACGTATCAGATATTAAACTGATAAGAACAGATACTACACTTGATCTTAGCCAAAAGGCCGAGAAAGGTATGCTTTGTCAGGGGCTAAATCGTTCATTTTATAGCCTGCTCTCCGCCCTTCTATTGCTTTCGAGGACCGATGTGGGAGAAAAAAAAACCCACGCTTCCGAATGCAAAAAACGGCTAAGCAACGATTCCTCTCTAAGTCGCTGGGAATTTGCTAAGGTGATTTTCTTGAATTTTGTTGGGGATTTGCTAGCTGTAAGTGTATCGGCACTGCTGAGTTTAAGAGTTCAAACTCTGAGTCTCTAACTAGTCCTATTACATTTTTTAAAGTAGGAAAAAAAAGTGATTAAATTTGGCGAAACTTTTGTTTTTGGTTCTTTTATTTTGAGGGTTCAATCTGACGAAATCTGAGACGTGAGTTAAAGAAAAACGTTCTTCTATTGAAGTGATGATCAAGATACATTTTTGTTTCTTTGATAAACACAGGAGGCATCTTGATATGAACAGACAGCACTGGGTTGACTCCTTCAAGGAATGGTAGGAAGAAGTATTATGGCAAAAAGACCAAAGCAATTAAACTTGATTAACTACTCTTCATTATTCTCTTCATATGCAAAAACAAATTTTAGTGGACAGGTAGATTTTTTGAATTTTGAGCGGGCATCACCATTAAGTAATTACTAGTAATTGATGCACATTCGATGAAAAACGCTTCATTTCATCTAATAAACGTGGAATTCTTACTTGACAACAAAATTTAGTAGCAGTAAAGTAAAAAGTTTAGGATTAATCTTCTATACACTGACAGTGTATACACTTTCACCGTTAGATGCATGACACACAATTCAAATTTTATATATGTGTCGTGCATCCAACCGTGATAGTGTATACAAGATTTACTCAAAAGTTTAATACAGCAAGATATGATAAAAATCAAACAAGAAATTAAATCAAGTAATTACCTGTACTGATTGATTATAAATCTACGTACTCTTACATTGAGACTAAGCTCCACAAATACAATCATTGAAAAGTTTCTTATGATGAAGAAGATTTTTTTTTACGATGAAAAAAAAATATGATGAAGAAGATGGAGAAGAATTTTTTTTATTTAGTTGTAATTTGTAGCTCAGTAGACTGTAATATAGTAGCTATGTAATATTAGCGGTTGAGTTGTGTTTTATGGAATTGTAAGTCATGATATAGTAGTTATGTTTTTTATGTTAGTGGATGTATTTTACTGATTGTGTGATGTTGGTGATTGAGTTAGAGTGTGTTAGTGGTAAAGAATTATTTAAAGGATAAAAAGGAATTTTAAAAAGTGATCTAGATTGTTTACACCAAATCATGTGCTCTCCCTTTGTTTTATTGTAGAAATAAGAATGAGTAATAATATTCACGCAACCACGTATTTATTAACTCAAATACAAACTATGAGTCCAAAGTAATTATAATGGTTGTAATTCATAGGAAATTACAAAATTAGCATCACACTAGTACTCTCGTTATGGTACCATTTCTCCCAAAAAAGGAGAGAAAAAAAAAGCGTGTTTGGAATCAAGCGGTTTACTACGAAATTTTCCCCTACTAACGATTTGCAATAAATTACTGCTAATGCCAATATAAGTTAACTCAATTAACAAGGACGGGTACTTCCTTACAAAAGTTTTGTTTGAAGGCATGTCCTGATTCATGATGGTGATCAGAGCCAAACTCATCTAAACTTTTTTTTTATCAAGAAAAAAAAACTGCTGTTAATATCACCAATCTCCAACAACTAGTGCAGCATCATGAAACCAGCAGGAGAGCGCCAAAGGCAAATTACCATAGCTACTTTCACAGTTACGATACAAAGTGATACAGTTTGAAAAGCCAAAAGCTTCTCAGGCTTCAATGTTCCAAAACGCTAGTGTCCTCTAAGTGACATGTTTTTGTATTTCGTCTAGGCTGACAACCAAGAAAGAATCATGTACAAACATACAATTGTGAAAATATCAGATATTAACGTTTAATTTCCTACTAGAATTAACCTAACATTACACTGTCTACTTATCTTTCCTCTTTATCTTTTGGCCATTTATTCCTTTCCCCTATCGTGTCTAACAACAACATTAATGCGCAAAATATAAACATTATCACTAATATGCAGCAGCGCATTGCTCTGGCTTCGTTTCAGGAGAAGCATTGGGGGGTTCCAAGCATTTTCGTGTATCATTTGTATTATGCACTCAAAGCAGTCTTCACAATAAGCTATTGTGCAAGGCCACTAGGAATAGAAGAGCTATCATCCTCGACTAATTTCTCAACTGGGTTCTCCTTAGCCCAAACAGCTGCATCTAAGTATCCCAACTCAAAGAGCTTATCCAGAATGTGATCTTCTGCTGGCTCAAGTGCCCAATTGAAAAGCTGAAACACAGGCACATGTAAATCTTAGTTGCATGTAGCAAGTCTTTTAGCTGGAATGGGCTGCAAATCAAACAGTACAATTACCTCCCTGGGACTCGCCCTATTTTCAGGATTGCAGTCAGGACTAATACCAATTCCTGCCAACCCCAATCGACTGGCTGGGAAAGCACAAACACGAACCTAGAATGCAACAAGAATGAACATCATTTAGCTACTCCAAGATGTCAGTTTGATTGTTCCACTCGTAGCACTAACCCAGTTACTAAAACAAGTAAATCTTCCTTCAAATGATTCATCAATAGGAGGTTAATGTATGTGTCAATAATAGGGACGCAAACAAGACAAAGTTACAGACACTGGGTGTAGATGATTAAGTTACAGACACTTAAAACAACTTTTAATTCAAAAACATGCCAGGATATTCAAGATTAAATCTCTCCAGATGCCACAAATATCAATTGTCTGCTTTAAAGAATTTCAAAGCATAGACCATAAAGGAGAGTTTGACAAAAATTAAATTTTCTTTTCCTTGTAAGGTTTCTCACATAGAATCTCAGAAAATCTAGTACAATCACGAGGAGCCAGGTCTCAGATTACATTTTAATTAAATCCAAGAAGAATCCAAAAAACTAATCACATAAAAATTCATTGCCCTATTGCAGAATATAGCACAGCAAAATCAAATTCACACAAGAATGCAAGTCATACAACTGAGAAAATCCATTCACATTAAAGGAAATTATGAAGAAGCAAAGAAATTATATACTACAGCAAATATATCAAATGATGTCTCAAGAGTTAGTTAGAACAAGTTAATTCATCAAGAAAATACCGTCTGATATGCAGATGTTGGTGGCATAAACAATGTTAAACCACCATCAATGCAAAGCCGATTTCTGAACCTTGTCGCTGGCCTTGGAGCAAGATATCTGCAGTAAACTATAATCTTAGCTCAACAGGATGTATGAGGCCACAAAGAATGTAATTGCTAATTATAGCATCTAAGAACGTTTACCCTGGGACAAAAGAAGAAGTAAAGACAGCATTGATTAGGTCCTCTTTAGAATCAAACTGGTCAACCAATAAACCCCTGGGCCTCCATAGTATCTGTGTCACAGCAACTGAGGTAAAACCATAACACCAATTATTTCAGAAAGCTGTTTACACATGATGGTGAGATAATTCTGTGAAATACTGCTAGAGATTACTTTATAAACAATTCTAACAAAGTAGAAGTAACACAGATCTGGTAAAAATCAGATTATGAAAAAATGGAGCCTATTCTAAAGAATATCTGTCTATATGGACCATAGGAAATCTCTCGCAATTTGGTGCATTCATTATTCTGGCACTCAAGATCTTGATAAGATCCATCAAAGGTCATATCTTTTCCATGGTTTTATGTATTCAACCCATAGATGAGATAAAAAAGAGAAGTACTAAAAAAGCGTCAACTTGCCTAGGCTTCACAAGTAAGGATGTGATCAAATACATTTTCCCTTCAGATGTCGAAAAGAGGTACAACCATTTCATAATTATCCAAGATCACACGGTATAACAACATTTCACCCCAAACCCTACTGAAGATCCAAGTGGCAACAGCTCACTATTGTACGGTATAATTTGAAGCATGAGTACATACGTAATTGTTCCTAGTTTAGGCAAGCAGGAAATTTAATCGTCTCAACTCTTTTTTTTCCCCTAATTCCTTAAGGACAAAGACTCTATGCATATAAAAATTTCACCAACATCAATAGATACTCTCGTAAATCACTGTTAAGAGCACAATGGGCATCAGGAATAAAGAATTCTTACCACGAACTCTTCCACTTGATCTAATATGAACATCTTCTGGTAGAAAGTTCTGAAGAACATCTCTAAGCACAGCCTGACAAAAGAAAATTCTCTATTTGGTGCTCAAATAAGGAGAAGGAAGAGAGAGAGAGAGAGAGAGAGTATCCTTTTCCGCTCATTGTCCATATAGATAATGTTTACGATCATAAGCTTGCTCACATTGACAACATTTACAGAATGCAGTTAACCTATACAAGCAAAACATGTTTATGTACCTCAACATTTCAAATGTACACCTAACAGGCATGATACTTTGAAGGCCATTCCTTCACCAAATTAGTACATAAAACAAAAATACAATTTGCATAGTTCTTTCTTCAATTGATATTCTTGCAATCGGTGTGCCATGTTTAAGTTACAAGACTAACATTTTTCCAACACATGTTCAAACAGAGACGTTCAGCTGCAGCAAAAGTAAAATAAAGCCAAACAAGTCATCATATTTCCATCGTTGTAACAATCACTCGGTTCCACGCACCCTAAATGAGCAACTTTACTCTCAGTTACTCAAAAAGGCAACGTGATTGAAATTGTATCTAGTTACATGTCTGCACCATATAATCGTTAGCTCAAGTTTCATGACATAACCACACAAACACAAACACACACATACCCCTAAGCGAAATGCAGTACCGTTGAGCCTACAGTCTTGGGCTAATATTTTGGTAACTTCTAAAGCCTCTTGCATACTCGCCCCAGATGCAATCACTGCACATACAATTGCACCAGCAGATGAGCCAGCTAATGGTGTCGTATCCTGCATCGCAGAAATAAATAACAATAAGAGCTAATTAGCACAGCAACAAGTTGAAAATAAATACATTCAGGAAATTACTAATGAAATTCCAAAAATAAAGGAGAGAGTTGGAGAGGGGGAGAGACCTTAATGTATCCGTTCTCGATGAGGAATTGAGCCACCCCGAGATGATAGGGAAACAAAAGTCCCGCCGCAGAGAAACTAAACCCAGGGCTGCTCACCGCCCTCTGCTCCTTCCTGCGGCGCTCCGCCTCCACGTCTTCCTCCCTCTGCTCCCACGTCACATCAGGCTGAAGGGGGTCCTCAATTACAACAGAGGAAGCTTTCTCTTTCCTCCACCGTCTCCACCAGCTCTCCGACGTACTCGTGACTCCCGGTTCCAGCCCTCCATTGATAAATTCGCCCCCTTGGCCAACTAAATTGTTGTCCCCACGCCTTATGATGAGCCTGGCGGCGATGCCGAGGAAGAGCTCCCCAGTGGCCACCGCAAAGGACTTTTTCTCGGGTGGTGGAGGCGGTGGTTTGGCCGAAGCAGAGGCTTTAGAGGAGAAATGCAGTGGGCGGAGAGGGGTTGGGCGGAGAGGACGATGAGGGTTGGAGAGGAAGAGGGAGAGGGAGGCCATGGTGATGGGCAATAGGGGGTGGTGGTCGTGGCGGTGGCGGACTCGTGGGTCTTGGTTTGGTTTGAACCTGAACAAGGCTCCAGGGAACACACGACGGCTGCAACTTTTCATTTGTTTTTTTTTTCCTTTTTTCTTTTTTCTCTCTCGTTTTGATTTGTACGGAATCCTACTACTTCCTCGATTTATTGACAGAATGACGCATACTGTTCATGGTGTCTGGCGGTGAGCTTGTTTGGATAGGAGTTTATTTGAGATAATAACTGTAGTATTTTTTGTGATGTGATGTATGTGAGATAAAAAAGTGATTGAGAAGATAAAAAGGTGATTGAAATTTATGAAGTAAATTTTTTTATTTCAAATCTTCTGTTTGGATCATAAATTATTTAAGATAATTTTGTAAAAAAAATTCTGTACCATTTTTTTGATATTATATATGTGAAATAAAAAAGTATTTGAAAAATATATTGATAATTTTGTAAAAAAAATTCTGTAGCATTTTTTTTAATATTATGTATGTGAAATAAAAAGTATTTGAAAAATGTGTTGATAATACAAGTAAATCAGTGCTTGGAAATAAGGTGTAATAATTTACAATTCAAACACAGTTTTTGATACTGTAGCACTTTAGTTTTCCTCGATTTATTGAGAGTATGACGTATGCTGTTGCACTACTAGTACTAGTGAGCTGGTAAACCGCATGGTTGCGAGTAGGGGTGGCAATTCGGGTCCAAATCAGGTTGGCGGGTCGGGTTCGGGTCAACCCGTCAGAAAATCTGTTGACCCGAACCCGACCCGCCAACCCGTGACGGGTCAGGTATGCTGACCCGAACCCGAAAATTTCAGGTTGACGGGTTGGCGGGTCGACCCGAAATGACCCGAAACTTAATTTTAATTTATTAATTTATCGCTGTAATTTCTAATAAAATCAATTTCTCACAAAACTAATTACATAATCAAGTAATAAAAATTTAAATAAATAATTCCAAACCAAATCTAAAATAAATTAAACACCGTAAAAGTGTTTTATCCCAAACAAAATATAAAATAAATTAAAACAATATAAAAGTAAAAAATAATATAATATATTATTTGTCCAAATATAATAATTTCAACTTCACACAAATTAAATAAATTCATTTAGGATTAAGTAATTAATGCCTTTGAAAAAAAGAATAACTTATTTAGTTAGATAAAATTATTTTTATGTTTATTAAATTATTTTTAATTCGTAAACGGGTCATATCGGGTCATATCAGGTCACCACGGGTTGACCCGAAATCGACCTATTTTCTTTTCGGGTTCATCGGGTCCAACCCGATTCTGACCCGAATTCCCGAAACCTCAACCCAAACCCATTAATTTCGTGTCAGGTTCGTGTCGTGTTTTCAGGTCGTGTCGAAAATTGCCACCCCTAGTTGCGAGAGAAATCAGAAATTTCCAAAACCTGATTCACACAGTTGTCAATCGTCACAGTCCAATTATGTTGACTCTTTCAATCTCTCATTAATAGTCCGTCAGTTAATTTTTAATGGGTCTAACTTGATATACTAGTAAATCCATTTAATTGGTGGATCATAGATTGTTTCGACTCATCTACTTTATATTCATTTAAAAATAATTATATATTTAAACTCAATTTTTAATGAATATTAAGAAGATAAACAATAAATGCCGTTATTTCTTGTCAAACAACATGTGAAATTTTTTTAAAAAAAATACTAAGTAAACTTTCAAATAAATCATAAATGGGTATAAATGAGTACCCGTTTATGCCTATTTATTTAAATATGCATAAATGGGTTGATTCAATTTATTCATTATCCAATTATGACCCGTCCAAATCCATCAAAGTTATCATTTTCACCCATCTACTGAATCTCCATTGACACTTGACAATGGATTACGGATGCAAGTAAGTCAAATTGAGTCAAATTTTGATCTAATCAAATCGAATCTTGACTCAATTTTATCAAGTTCGAATTTGTACTCGAACTCGACGAGATTTTAGTGTAAAATTTGAATTCGAGTTCGAGCCCAATTTCAAGCATGGTCAAGCTTCAAACTCAACCCTACTCGAGTTTTAAAAAATTTTAAAAAATTAAGAAGTGAATAAAATATTCATTTCTCTTAATAAATAATAAAAATATTTATAAATACATATATAGTTTCACTATTAAAATAAAAAATTAAAAAATAAAATATATAATCAAATTGGCTCACAAATTAATGAATTGAATTTATCTATATTTGACTTGAATTCGATAACTCGACTTGATTGGTTCAATCTTAATATTGACTGAATTCAAGCCGAGTTTTGACCAGATCGACGGGTGGTTTGACTACAATGGGCATAAAAATATTGCAGTCGCCTCTCGCAAATAGGCAGATGACCCGTACCCACCGAATTCCTGAGTCCTGCTTTGGTTCGCTTCTAAGTGTCCTTTTTACGTTTCAGTCCCCTTCTGTATTATAATTTCACAAATACCGATTCTTGCTTATTAGTTTTACAAAACAGACTCACGTGTGCGTCAATTCAATACTTTAAACAGCATCTATTATCAAATCTCTGGAGCATCTGCATGGGAGCCAAGTAAAGGACCGTTTTAACCAAATTATTAGCTGAGTTGACCAATACGAAACAAGCCAAACGATTGTTTTTCATCTACTAAACGGTCCGCAATATGGCAGAATTAGTAAGTAAAGAGTGCCCTCATTTGTGTTTACAAACTCGTGCATTTCTTAATCTAACTCCTCTTCTTTATCATCGAAATAATTGCGTCTTATCCTAACCACAGCCCAACACCCCTAGATGTTATCGATTTATCATTTCATCAACTTGTTAGTTTCATCTTTATAACCCGCAGTAGTCTCGAGCTCTTAGTCTACTTCTGCTTTAACATTCCTCTGTCATATTAATCAAGTGGCAAATGCGACTGTCTAGTCTACAATGGTCCAACTCCTCTTTAAAGGGCTCTAGCGGGGATGAGCAGCATCTAATGAATTCCAAGTGCTATTGGAGAGTGCAATTCAATGTGTGAATCGTATACTTGTTGAATTCAATGTCTATGATCTCAAGACTCATTTTAATTGATATGAACATTATCTTGGTGACGATGAGGCTCCTTATTTGACTCTCGAACCCTCTTCTTTTTTTTTTTTTCTCTTCTCCTTTATAAGATTTTAAGTCTCCTCGAAACGTGTTTTTTTTTACGGTAAACTTTTTGGGTGAGCAAGCACTATAGGCTAAAACGACAAGGAAGGACATAACTTCGTCAGCTAAAAATAGACAACTAAATGCAAAAATGGACTAATTTGAAGAAATTAAGCATGGATGCCTTGCACATATTGGAGCATCACAGCGAAAGCTCCATACAATCACAGCCAGGGGGAATCCATACTCAGGACTCGGGACACAGATTGGAGCATTAAGAATGAAATTCTAACTGAGGACTACATAATCAATCTTTTTCTGCTAGAATTATGCATACTTGTTGTGACAAACCCCCCCTCCCCCCTCCAAAAACCCCTCCCAGAATAAAAAAAAAAGGTACAAAAGACTATGCTTTTCCCTGTAATACTGTTACAGTAAGCGTTATAGAGGGACTCTGTAGGACGGATCGACCATTCTTAAAATAAACAGGTTACCTTGGTTGCCCCTGGATATCCTGCAAGCGTGATGAACTTAAGCTTCAGAATACAAGCAATATCAAGTTGATAGCAGATGATTGAAAAATGTTTTACTCTATCCGAAACATCTGTTTCTTTCTTTTCCCTCCTTCATTTGCTTAACCATCATACCCATGTCTAGTTAAGAACAACACAACTTTGATCAATTACCGCACTTTCCCCTCTTCTCTCTCCAAGCAAAGCAGGACACAGAAAAATCCTCAGAAAAAATGATGTTAACCACTTTGCAGTTGGCACACTAAATATGACAACATGATGGAAATGATTTCGTGCTATTATTATCCTTAACTTTGACTTGTGACACATTAAAGTAGATGCATCGTCTTAAAGACAAGTCCTTGTGAAATAGTGTAAAGATGATGAGGCAAAACAAAGGACCACATCGCTATATCTAAAATGCTAAGAAGTTATCATGCTATCATATTATTGCTTTCAAAAGATCTTCATTTGACGGATAAAAAACATCTTTGAGAGCTGTAGAGCACCTACTTCACTAGGGAGAACAGCAAAATTGAGTGAATAAGGTAGAAATCAAGGTTAATCAACAAAGAAGACTGCCAATAACGGTTTTCAGCTGGTAAATGTGTCATATGAAGTCTTTCATCTTAGATTGAGAGAAGAGCATGTAATGGATAAAGGAGTTTTAAATAGGAAGTTAAGAACAGACCTAGAAGAACAGGGCAGCTAGATTTAGAGACCAATCTCAATGTCAGTTTATAAGGCCTTGTTAGTTGTTAAGAATTTCATATCATTCACAAACAGGAGACAACAAAATTTATGCGCTTAGCTTGTGTTGCAGTTACTGCAAAAGGCTTTTAGATTCCTTACCGTAACTCTTCATCAAGGTATGTAATTTCCAACTCTCCACGACCACTGCCACGTTCCATTATAGGTATCTGTGAACCACAAAAGACTAGTTGATTATCTCAACCTTTCTGTATGCTCAAGACTTGAAACGATCATGGAGCAATGCACAGCAGATGCTCCAGGTTTAAGTTACATCCCACTTGCGTTGCTTTTGCCAACTTAAATATCCTACACAAACATCTATAACAGCAAATTGCTACAATCCCAGAAAAATGATGGTGAGTCTAGTACAACAAGATACAGAACTTTAAGCACAGTGAAAGCTTCACCTACCACACCAGCAATCTTGAAGGAGTCAAATTTAACTGCCACCCTTCTTGTATTGAGGGGAACTAAATTGGCTGTGGCCTGCAATAATTTGGACAAACCTCAAACTGTGGGTATTATTAATGGATGTATGTTTTGAGTTCTATTACAAACATTTGCACGTACACAACTAGAATAGGTCTCAAGGCAAGGAGAGATTGAAGTCCATATTATAAAGTCAACTAAGAAGAAATATGCACATGCTCAAATAAAACGTCTCAAGATTACAGATGATGCATTCTCCCACAGGTACAATGAGAAGTTCACACATGCTCAAACAGAATTAATCCATATTTTGAGGCAGAGTCCACATTCTAAAGTTAAATTGAGACTTAGTACAAGGAGAGAAATTCTAAAAGTAACTGCAAAGGGACCAACTATTTGTCTTCATTACTCTAATGTCAATCTAAATTTCCTAAACAAAGTACAAGAGGTGTAAACATGTACTATTTGTCGAACATTACAAGTGTGGTTAACTGGTTATAGATTGGCAACCCAATTAGACGAGATCATTTTACAACCACCATGCCAGACACTTCATTAAGGGTTTATAGTGCCATGTACTTAGATTTAGCATATTGCATTAATGATTTGGTCAGAGTATGAATGCAGAAGGAAAAGATTCACCACATTAGCTGAAGCTAGCATGTTTATATCTTCCACAACAAAATGAGAGGAGAAAGGGAGGAATGTTTAAAAGCACAAAAGCTTTGTTTGTTTTCTGAACTACCTGGTTGAAGAATGGCCAAGTTTCCATATTCTGAGCCCTCAATGTGTCCACATTAATCGCTTGATACATTTTCCCATTAGGGCGTAAAAGTTTAGGCCTCTGTGACATTGACAGCAATAGAAGAGACCAGTGATTAGATAAACAAAAATGAATGCCTATAACCTATTAGACCAATGATGCAGAAACAGCCAGTATGAAAGTAATGTGATTTCTCAAGCATATTCAGCTGGGCCCCTGAAGTAGCCAACAGTAACCTGCCTGACCATATGTTTAAAGTTTTTACCCCTATTAAGCGAGAATGCAACAACTCTCCCCAATATGTTTTAGATTTATGAAGCTGCAAGTGATAGTAGCACATTGTCAAACCTGAGGTTGCAGAACTGACTTGGAAGTTGTGTAGAGAAGCTCCCATTTACCATTTAACAAGCTGGACTTGAGTGGCTCCTTTACTTTATTGACTGCTTCCAGTTTACGAGCAATCTAAACGTGAATAAAGGGTCTGAGAGTGTTAAAATAGAAAACATATACATTACCTGAGGCATGTTGATCGGAATAGGATGGATGCTAAAACAAGAATTTTCCCGTTTCCAACAATTGGCTTTTGGTTTTCAACATATTTTACCAGAGGATAAACAAAATGTCCCCAGGGAGGAAAATTGAAAAAATAAAGAAAAAAAAGGCCATGCAACAGAATAATAATTGATTGGAGATAGATCGAAGATGTGAATATACACCCTATTCTTGAACGGGAAAGTCTGTAAACATCAGAGATTGTCAAAGATATAAAAAGGTTAATCATTGATTTAAGATCAGGGTCGTGTCTAAGAAATTTCTACTTGAGACTAGAAGTTCCCATTTGCTAATTTTGGCTTCCTTCTTAAAACCTTTGGCTTATTCAAAGAAGCAGTTGAAAATGTTCCAACCTTAATATCTTCTTGTTCCAAAGAACCGCTCTTTACTTGATTTTGGCACAGTATCCTCATTCCACAGCTGTAAACAATTCTCAAAAAAAAAAAAAAAAAATTCTACCTTTGGATAGAAAAGTTTCAAGTTTACTTTAACACCAACATGAAACGGCCAGTTTCAGAAAGACACTTGAACAATTCTCAACAACTTAATCCAACAAGAGGCAAATTCAAATTAAGGAGATGAACCCACCTGATCTACACGCTCTTGGTCTTCAGCGGTGGCCTCAGCACCGCGATCAAGAGGGGCAATAGCCTCGAGAAGCTCCTGCTTTAGGGTCTCAATGTCTCCGTCTTTGATCGAGAACGATGGAAAGAAAGAAACTCTAGTCCTCCACTTCAAACGTTGAGGAGCTGCTTTCACACATGACTTTGCACGGCATTCATTATTAATGTCGTCGAAATTAGTACTGGTGTTTTGCCCTTTTCGCGGAAAATGAATTGAGGCTAAAGAATGTGAAGTGATGAGTTCTTTGGAAGAGTGATGCAGCTGATGAGAGCAAGAAGAGGAGATGGAGACAGCAGACATTTTCTTCGTCTGCTGATTGTAATTTCAAAATCTGATTATCCGTCAATGAATAATGTGTAGCCAAGATCTCGAGCGGATAGACTTTGCTTTGCAGGTCACTTCCCGCCAGACAAAATATGTACCACAATCCACACTTTTCACCTCTCAATTTCCTCACCTTCCACTTATTTACCTTTCAACTTCCTCGCCTTTAAAGGCTTTTACATATTTTCAATAGTCATTGCAAGTTCAATAATAGTTCGACAGTAAATCAACATATGGCTATGAGTGAAGCAAAATTTCTCCTGATAATATTTAAAACCACTCCAAAATGAGATGCAGGAAATAAATGTCATTGGAACTCTCGTGAATGATCAAGAAGCTTCAAGGTGGGCTTTGGTTACCTAACTTTCCTTCACAGATTTGTAAGTCGATGATTTAGAGAACAGAAATGGGAATGTTATAAAGAATCAACTTTAGGGTTCATGAATATGCCAGCCATTCTTTTGGTTGTGATTTTAGTTAGTGTCATGGAAAGCCAAATTGCAAATGATGCTGAGGGGATTGGTTTCTTCATTATTAAATCGTACGGGTGGAAACTGCAGCCTGCATGGTATCCTAGGTTCCCACATCGGCCTCCGGAAGCCTTCCGCTAAATCCTAAGGTGCATAAAAAGCACAGCCCAATACCGAGAAACGCATACCTTTCTCGGCCTTTTGGCTAAGATCAAGTGTAGTATCTGTTCTTATCAGTTTAATATCTGATACGTGGGCCATCGGCCCACACGATATTAACTTAATTTTTTCAGGGGGAGAGCCCACCACGGTAGCTTGCTGCCGGGGCTCGCGAGCGTCGCCTTGGCCTCGCACTATAGCCTGGGCCTGGCGCACCCCACCAATCCTAGTTCAACTTTGTTATCGAGTGGTCGACCAATGTTCCTGGACCATGACATAGCCTCTTCTTTTCCTTTCTTTTTCTTGGATCCGTAAGATAATTTATGTTGAAACGTGTTAAAATGTAGCTAATATGTTTTGTGAATCTACCGTTCAAATAATAATAAAACAGAAGTTTAGTGTCATGGAAAGCCAAATTGCAAATGATGCTGGGGGAATTGGTTTCTTCATTATTAAATCGTCCGGGTAGAAAGTGCAGCCTGCGTGGTATCCTAGGTTCCCACATCGGCCTCCGGAAGCCTACCGCTAAATCCTAAGGTGCATAAAAAGCACAGCCCAATACCCAGAACCGCATACCTTTCTCGGCCTTTTGGCTAAGATCAAGTGTAGTATCTGTTCTTATCAGTTTAATATCTGATACGTGGGCCATCGGCCCACACGATATTAACTCAATTTTTTAAGGGGGGGAGCCCGCCACGGTAGCTTGCTGCCGGGGCTGTCGAGCGTTGCCTTGGCCTTGCACTAAAGCCTGGGCCTGGCGCACCCCACCAATCCTAGTTCAACTTTGTTTATCTAGTGGTCGGCTAATGTTCCTGGACCAAGATAGAGCCTCTTCTTTTCCTTTCTTTTTCTTGGATCCGTAAGATAATTTATGTTAAAATTTAGCTAATATGTTTTGTGAATTTGCAAAACAAGTTCACATATTAATGGTTTGAAATATTTAGGCAATATGATCTTTAAACTTAGAAAATGCTATATTGTTCAATTATTTAAAAATGCATTTTAGTTCACACCGACACAAATCTCTATTCTGAGCGAGAAATATATGTGTGATAGATACGAGATTTTCTTTTCTTTTTTTTTAAACTGAAAACCACAAGACTTCATAAATTTGCAACACCTGTGGAATAACACATACAATGAACTGCTAGTTGTCTGTTTTAAAGTTCATATTGAAGGCCTCTTCCATTAATTTGTCAATTAAAGTTGCGACCATATTCTTCTGTTTATTATACACTGACGAGAGTTGTGAAAGTTGTTAATTATTACTACTCAAGTGGATGGATTCGTGTCGGTACAAAACAAACCCACTATGAATAATTGTCCTGTTTGGAACCCAAGTTTTTTGGTAAGTTTGTCTGCTACAAGTTTTTTAAAAATTTTAGCTATAATAATCTCAAAAAAACTTCTCAAAAATTTTAAACTATATATTTCAAAATATTCAAAAATTTACACACTTTAAAAATTTTTTTAAAAATTTCTACAGTGCACTATAGTAAAATTTTAGATAAACTTTCAAAAAACTCACCTTTCAGACGGGGCAATATTAAACCAATGTTACAAGTGTAAACGTTTAGTAATCTCTTAACCTTTTTGGCTGAACGACAATTTTTTTTTTTCCAGAAACGGTAATAGCTTATTCCATCTTAGACTACAAAAGAGAAAGTTGTGTTAGAGATTAACAAATATACATATTTTACTAAATTAAAAAGATATTTTAACATCATTTTTGAATTTTTTTTTTTACTGCTACAGCCTGTAAATGTGAGTTGAATTCTCACCTACAACCCAAGAAAGGATTCAAGCCCCTCATTGGTGGTCACTGAGCCAAGCTTAGTGGTTGGCTGAACGACAAATGCTTAGGCAAATTTTTGTTCGATCATGAAAGGTGTGCCATCTAGAAGAATGCCGAGTGGTGTTTTGAAGAGCAGGAGAAAACGTGAGGAGGACAAAAGAAATAAAACGACTGGCGGCTTCCGTTACCGGGACGGGAATTGAACTCGGGTCTCCCTCCCTGGGTGAAAGCCAGACATCCTAACCGCCGGACGATAACGGCATCATTTCATCGCCTGAAATGTTTCAACGACAAGAAGATTTGGATACCAAAATTATTTCAAATAATATTTCGCTTGCATCATAAACACATTTCTCAACCTACCATTTTATATTTTCCAATCACCTTTTTATCTCACATACATCATATCACAAAAAGTGCTACAGTAATTATTCCAAATAATATTTCAAATAATGTACTATCCAAACAAACCCAAAACTTCCTTTTTTTTTTTTTTTTTGGGGGTGGGGGTGGGGTGGTGGGTGGAATTAATTAGATCCCGAAAGAACTGTCAAATTTACGGATATTTGACAGTCATTTTGTTACTAATTGATTTTTCTCATAAATTTTTTGGAACAATTTCAAGAGGATTCATTCATCGGCCTTCAAGACTGTGTCCACAAATAAATATATACTATTAGATTTGGTTGAAGAAGGACATTTCGGAACAAGTATCATAAGATGCCATCTTCGTTCCATCATGATTGATTACGATGGGAACCCACAAATGAATTTGTAGCTTTGCACAATTGCACCCCTGCTGAGGGTTATCCGATCATCATGCCGCCTGATGGATGGCAAGACTCGTACTCACTCTTGCCGACAGCAGCTAAGAGTGTTTCAACAAACCACTGGATCAATGGTTCAGTGGCCATTAGGGAGGGACTTAAATTCCTTTTTGGGCTGTTGGTGAGGGTTCAAACTTTACCAGCAGTGAAAAAAATTTAAGAGTTGTGTCATAACATTTTCTTGATGTAGTTGGTTCTGTATACCCACTGACCTCTACAACAGCCTCCTTAGGCTCTCCCTCCCTTCAGATTAGGATAGAGAAGGTTATACAAATGTATCGTTGCTGATAAAATAAAAAAAAAACTAAGAGTGTTCAACACATACTTTTATTAAGTGCTCGAACATAAAATCCAAAATAAATCATTGATTGCTCTCACTGATAGTAAATAAAAATTTGTGAAAATCTCGCAATTTTCTCAAATTCCTTGTGAAATTTTGTCATGTCATGTTGGGCAAGATGCGAGACTGAACTGTGTGTTCAGTGTGTATATATATGACATACCGAGAACATCACCAGCCTCGAAAATTTTACCACTTGGGCATCTAGATGTGCATTGAAAGTCCAACCTTCACCATTTCCAAGAGAAAAAGAAAAAGTCCAACCTTCACTATCACCAACAATAAAGATCATGGTTGCTCTAGCTAATTGGGTTTGTTTGGATTACGATTTATTTGTTAAAATATATTTATTTATATCATTATTATAATTTCTAACACCCTGTTTTATCTTTTCAATTATCTTTTTATCTCACATATATCACATCACAAAAAGTGCTACAGTAAAAATATCTCTAATAATTCACAATCCAAACAAACCCATTAATGTTTTAGTGCTCTGAAATCTGAATCAACACACAGGAACACCGCTACGCCAAAAACTCCCTGTTTGGATTGCATTTTTTTTTAATTTTTTGTAAAATAAATAATTATAATAATTTAATATATATAAAAATGTGTTTACTAAAAATATAGCAATTTTTCTGCTGTCCAAACGTAGCACTTGATTGATAACTTTTGCTTGGGACATTTTGGGACCATGGTCAAAGTTTTCAACGGAAGCAAAGGTGTGAAGCATGATGGATAAAGTAAGATTGAAGTAAGAATTTCAAGTAAGATTGAAGTAAGAATTTCCTCGTCCTTTTTATTCTTTCAATGCTTGTAAAGGTACCGGGTAAAAAATGTTGCTTTCTCGAGCTAGAATGTGACCCTTCGTTTATAGGACGAGGGGCCTGGACGGTTGTCTCGTCCCAGGCAGTTCACGACCTGGATGAAGTTAAAAAGATGAAGTTAAAAAAATTTGTGCGGCTCAAATCACGTCTTGTAACTCGATTTTCACGCCGTGTGGGACTCACAAAAATGTTGTTATATTTTACTCGCTGTTATTCAATTATTACACATTATACAGATGATGTTACACCATGTATAAATGGTGTTACGCCTTCCGGAGCGGTTGTTCCAGCCCCGCGTCCTCGTTTATAGGCCTTCACAGACAACATTTATCATTTATGAATTGACAGCTCTGCATAAAATTCTAGACTATTAATTGCTTAAACATGATGATTCACCAACTTCAGTAATTATGAGGCCAATAGTTTCAGATTGTAAGTTTCAGCTAAACCTTGCCTGAGGATTCTAAACAATTCCACCTAGCTTTTTAAAAGTTTTAAAAATATTGCTTGCCCCTCTCATTTTCAAATTTTTATAACATTCTCATCATCCCGATTCATTCATGATTAAAATATTCGTTGAGGTTTCTTCTGGGAGAGAAAATAGAGGCGATGCGAACAATTGTAAAAGTCGTCTACAAATAATCAAAACGTCCAATGAGATACTCCCCATGCAAAACCACATTCAATGCATCCTTATCGTTTTCCTTTTTTTTTTTTCGGTGTCAAATCAATGCATCATCATCGGTTTCTTGTCATTTTCAGAGCTCGGTCAGTGGGTATATGCATGGCGTTTACTTTAGTTTCAGCTTTAGATAGATGAAATTCCTTCATAACATCGTGGGTACGTTATGAATTTATGACCATTACTCTTCTACAGTTTCCTGTTTCCCTCCGCTCCGCGTTATCCTAGCTTTTCAATTCAGTAAGCTCAATCAATCAAATGATTGACCCGTAATTCCATGCCCTAAAATCATCATTCAGAACCCTTTGATACTAAATGCAGTCCCCTGCAAATGACATGATACTCTTGATGCTTTTCTCTTTTTTGGGGGAGGACTATTCACCCAAGAAAACAAGTTCACGAACAAGAAAGGAAAAGCTATTGAAGTTGTAGCAGTAAATAAAATTTGTTTTACATCGAAGACCAACAAACGACAACGGAAATGAGAATTCAGACAGGAAATCTGGCGAAACTCTTATAGCTTCTATAGCTTAGCTAGCATAATGTACCATTTCTTTTATTTATTGTTGTGGGATGGCCATACATCGGGCGCTTAATCAGAAAGGTAGAATAGTGTAAGATATGGATCTCTTGATCAAGTCAAACAATGACAGCAATCTTCATTCCAGATTGGCAATGGCCTGGAATACTGCAGATGAAGAAGTTTGCTCCCTTCCCAACCTTTATCTGATCGTTTCCAGTACGATACACCTTGGAACCCGGAGGAACAGTGCACGTGTCGTAACCGGCTTTGTTCACCGCAACCACATTGTGGACTGCTGGACTGTAGCTGAACACTGTCAGACGCATGAAGGTATAAATATTAGTAAAACCCGCCAAGTTTTAAGACAGTCTAGGATCTTCTGTCCTGTGCAAGCTCCTTGTTTACTTTATGACAGTTTTCAAGTGTAGAGAAAACATATTATTGTTATTGACTAACTTGCATATACTAAAGCTGAAAAAGTAGATATAAGAACTTTCTCCATCGTTCACATATGGCGTGTACACAGTGAGGGAAAGGCCATGGTGAACAATCAAAAGGATAACGTAAAAAAGCATCCACCAGAGTTTTTGTTTTGTGTTGTTTTGCCATGATTCTAACATGTTCAAGATACAGCTCCCTCGCTTGTTCTAAGCGCTTTTGAAAGCTCATTTTTTGAGCAAGTTAATGATGCAATTTATTCTATTTAAATTTGGTTTTAATATTCAGTTCGCAGTGTAACTCAGTGGTTCAATGGTATCTAAATTGGAGTTT